AGCTAGAGGGATTTAAAGAGAATCCTGCCTTCTCATGATGCAATCAGTCCCCAAATGTCCTTCTAATACCCATTCTGGGCAGAAAGTTGAAACTGCAAAGCAACAAACAAACACAGCCCAGAACAGTGACTTTAGAATAGGGCAGTCCAACAAATTTAACCCATATAGTTCAGCTAGAGGGACTGATGCAACTAGCCCCAAAATGCCCCCAAGAAGAGCATTTCCGGGCTGGGGAGATTCTCTATTTATCCTGCACTATCATTAGTTTAGTTAAGCCTTTGGTTTCAAAGAGAATTCCCACTTCTTGCTGTTCTGGGCAGAAAATCAATATTGTAAAAACCAGCCCAGAATAGTGACTTCTGAGTAAGGCAGCTCAATGAAATTCACCTGCCCCATCCAACTAGATGGACTTGGTACAACCAGACCCAAAATGTCCCAGGGGACTGTTTCAGAGTTCTGAATTTCTGATGAAATTCCTTTTTTTGCTATTCAGTGGAAGTACAAATATCCATAGAGGAGAATTGGTACAATTTCCCAAAGTCCACCGCTTTCTCATCAACTGGCTCTTAAAGTCTCAATAACTCACTGATTTGTAGGAGAAAGAATTAAAATATTCTTGTGGTTGCTTGAAGTTACAGACATATGTAAACTGCTTTCTTTTCTGCACACATACTTAACACTGAACAGAGCAACAGCAAACAAAACAACTGCCATCAACCCAGGAAAGAGTGATAAAGAAACAGTCAGCAAGAAGTAGGGTTCTCCTTGAAATCAAAGGCTTAATGAATGATTGGCTAGTGCAGGATAAATAGAGAATCTCCGCAGCCCAGAAAAATCTATCCCAGTCACACAAATTACAGACAGCATGCAAAGTTGCAAATAAAAGTCCAACAGGAAGAATATTCCAGTACTGTACCTGGTCTGGGCTGAAAATTTGTATTTCAAAAAACAGTCCAGAACGGTGACTTCAGAGTAGACAGAGCCCAAGCAAATTCATCTATCTCATCCAACTAGAGAGGTATCTGGTCTAACCAGCCACAAAACACCTGCAGGAACAATATGTTAGATAGCCAAGTGGTTTAAGCATTTGGCTGTGGAGCCAGAGGTTGGGAGTTCAATTCCCCATTGTGCCTGGATACGATAATCTTTCCAGTTCTGCATTTCCAAGATTATGATGATGATTCCAGTACCCACTCCATTAACTTTGGAGCAGGACTGCCCAATGAAATTCACCCTTCCACTTATAAAATAAATAAAATAAATAAATAAACCACAAAACAACCCCAACGACCACAAGCCAGTACCTATTCCAGTCAGAAAACTCATATTGCACAAAACAGTCCAGAACAGTGATGATCATATATCACATCAGATAGAAGGAGAAGGATGTAATAATGTACAAAGCATCATCATGAAGCACATCCCAGTACCAACTACAGGGAGCAAAACGAAATTATGCAAAACAGCCGAGACCAGCAATTTCCAAGTAGGGCAGCATACCAGATTCAACCATCCCATTACTCTAGAGGGGACAAATGCAGCCAGCCACAATACAACTCCAGAAATCATATTCTAGGGCCTGTTCTGGATAGCTCAGTGGTTTAGGCATCTGAAATTGGGAGTTTGATTCCTCAGTGGGCATCAAGAAGATGTATGAGCTATATTTTATTTTCTAATCTATACTTTACCTCAAGTTTTTGAAGATAAATGGTTAACACGACAACATGGGGATAGTTAGAGATCATGTATTCTGTGTTAATTTAAATCTGCTGTGCTAATTTAAATCTTGTTTCTCCACATTTTGAATCCCACAACTTAGTCCAAATAGTATTGCTTTCAGTTTCTGTTCCTTAAATGCTGGCTTTATTATGCTGCTCATTCTAGAAAACTCATCCTGTGTATGTATGTGAGCATGGGTGCATATATAGCCTCAAATATTCTAATAAAAAGAAATATATATTTTCCCTATTGTGTATCTCAAACATTTGAATTACAATAGGGATCACCTGCAGTAATATTTCTCTCTGATCTACTGTGTTGATTGCAGCTAAACTCAGAAGAAACTGAGAAGAATGAAGGGAATTCCAAGAGTCCAATCTTGGCATCTCTGGATGGAACTGTGAAAAACCATTACTGTATCTGCAATTTTGGAGAGTTGTTGTCAATTTGTGTGGACAGTATTGAGGTAGATGGACCAACACTCTGATTCAGTGTAGAGCAGGTTCCCATGTTTCTGCTGACAAAGTGAGATGATGTTCACTAAAAGGTCACAGGCAGTGCTTCTGCTAGTTGTTCAGGTGCATAAGACCTGTTGTAAGTTTTGCTGCAATAGTGGTGCTCTAGATATTGCTGCCCACCGACCTCAGTGAGACTTTTGAGCAGAAACACCAAGGATTAAATAACATAGGATCAGATGGCCATTCACAAAATGACACCACAAAAGGGAAAATTCCAGAAGTTGATCACTCATGTAGAATTGCCCAGTACTGTATTAGAAGAACTCAGAAGATGTGCACATGATCTGTACTATGGTTGCTGGGACAGGACAGAAGCAAGAACAGATGAGATGTGCTTTCTGTGCTAAAGTATTTTGAAAGGCTCTTTTTGGATTTAATGAAATACCGTAGTGAAGCAAAAGTGTGAAGGAGTACAACACATACAATGCAGAAGCATAAACACTCTTTAATCTCTCAGGTAAACTAATGTTGCCGTGTCTGCTCTGTCTATCTCGTTTCCAAATCTTCTTTGGGTTAGGCGACCTGAGAAAGAAGAGTAATATCGGACTATAATCTTTTCAAACATGTTTTGTGCATGCTTTCCAAAAGATTTCCCCTTGCCTTTTGAAATAATAAAAAAAGGGGAATTAGCAAAGATTGTCACTGGAAAGCAAGATCAAAGTCATCCATACTCTGTGGAAAAAAAAAAAAAAGACAGTGAAGAAAGAAATGGACAAAAATAAACTTAAAATGTGGTGTTGGAGGAGAACCATACAGATATCACAGTCAGCCAGAAAGGCAGAAAAGTAAGTGCTCAATCAAGTCAAGTCTGAACTCTTACTAGAACAAAAATGAGTAAACTGAGGTTATTCTACCTTACACATATAATGAGAATATGGAACTGATCAGAAAAGACAATATTGCAAGAGAAAGTGGGAGAGGGCAGTAAGAAGAAAGGAAGACCTAATGTGAGAGAGGTTGTCTCAATAAAGGAAGTCACAGCTGTTAGTTTGAAAGACTTTAGCAAAACTCACTGGAAAAGCCAATACTGCTAGGAAGGCGGTGGTGGTGGGGACAATAAAGAGAAGGAACAACCTAATACGTTGTTGGATTGCAAGACAAATCAGTTGATGATAAGACATTTTGTAAGTCATTAACTTATATGGTCACTACACACCAGAAGGGACTTGATGGCACATAGTATATCTGGCATCTTTTTCCACCAGAAGTGACTTGATGGCACATAGTATATCTGGAATCTTTTTCTTAATTACCAGACAATTTTATAGTGACAAGATGGATGGAATGGTTGATACTATGACAAGATATCGGCACCAAAGCTCTCCTAGCATTGAATAAAACCATCCCTGGCCACAAATCAAAATACAGTAACAATAATCTCACAGCTTAAATGAGTGAGTTTCTGAAACTTATTCTCTATTCTTTTTCACAAGATATCGGCACCAAAGCTCTCCTAGCATTGAATAAGACCATCCCTGGCCACAAATCAAAATAACAATAATATCACAGCTTAAACGAGTGAGTTTCTGAATACTTATTCTCTATTCTTTTTTAAATATATTTTTAAATATTGTACAATGAGGCACAGAATCACTTTGTAATGCTTATTTGGCCAGGAAAGAGTTAAGGCACCAAAGCTCTCCTAGCATTGAATAAGACCATCCCTGGCCACAAATCAAAATAACAATAATATCACAGCTTAAACGAGTGAGTTTCTGAATACTTATTCTCTATTCTTTTTTAAATATATTTTTAAATATTGTACAATGAGGCACAGAATCACTTTGTAATGCTTATTTGGCCAGGAAAGAGTTAATATATTTTTAAATATTGTACAATGAGGCACAGAATCACTTTGTAATGCCTATTTGGCCACAGTTCTCCTCTTGCAAGTCAGCCAATTGGGTCTGGACTGACAGGATCAAAAGCTCAGATTGCCAAGAAGACATGTGTCAGGAGCGTAGTTTCAGAAATCTTTATTGAAGTCATTCAGGGTTAGGTCTAACACAATTGCTCTGTGCTTTTCTAATGCTGGAGAACTTTGAATATGCTTTACAAAGTCATCTGCTAATTCCCTGGAGATACACAGCAAAATCTGCCTTTCTGGAGGACTGTCACTCTATTTGTTTCTTTAAAACAATGTGTTGGGCTGTCTTAATGAATAATCTCTTTCCCACAACACACACACACACACACACATCCTAAGATACATCTCTCCTTACACATTGGATTTAACTGGGTGTTTTCAGTAATTTCTTTTTTGTTTTGTTTTTACTACTCTATTATAGCAGTTTGGTACCACTTTAACTGTCTCTATGCAGGGAAATCCCGGGAGTTGTAGTTTGTTGAAGTAAATTAGAACAGTCGTTCCCAACCTTGGGTCCCCAGATGTTCTTGGACTAAAACTCCCAGAAGCCTTCACCACTATTTGTGCTGGCTAAGATTTCTGGAAGCTGTAGTCCAAGAACATCTGGAAGCTCAAGGTTGAAAACCACTGAGAATGATCTCGTAGAGAGCTCTCATGTCTGCCGCTCCCCTGTGCTACAAGAGTCTTCTAAGCATCTCATCAAATAACAGTTCCCAGGATTGCATATGACAAAGCCCTGACAGTTAAACTCTGTAGTGTAGCTATTCCCATTGTACACAATGCATCCCTGGGCATAAGCCCCATTAAATTCAATGGAGATTACATCTTGTGCAAATATGTTTAGGATCTCTTATACCTCGCCCCAGAATTGCACATTGAGACAATGGGTGACCTACCTTCCCAAGGATGCTGGTTCCCATATTTGCCACTGCTTCATGTGTCATCACCAGCCCTCTGAGTGGCAAATCCTAGGTTGGCAAAGTCAGTCCGTATAGCAAACTGTTTTCCCCCCAAGAATATGGATCCTTCTAAAAAGCATCTGGGGGCAAAAGGGAATTCCACAGCCGTGTTGAAGCAAACATGAATGTCAAGACAAAGGAAACAATGCAGAGGAAGGATCCTGGCTTTAAAATGAGCTGAATTCTCATGATTGGCCACAGCTTTTCTGCAAATAACTGCACACAGGAAAAACACACACCCCTCTTTTTGCTTTGCTTCATCTTCCTTATAGGAGGAACAGGATGACTTATTGTCTGCAAGTATTTTCTAATAACTTAGCAGGGTACTTGCATTTCAAAAGAAGGCAATGCTTTATTATACTGTAGAATGCTTTGCTTTTAAACTCCCATGACAGCTGCACGTTTGAAATGTCACACAGCCTACAAGTGTGAGCTAAGGCTGTTCATGAAGGTGGGGGAGAGCCGGAAGTGTATAAAGCACTGACAGCGTGCGCTAGAGCCAGAGCCGCTGATGCCCATTGCAATCAGTGGTATATAGAGCCAGGAATTACAGAGTGGCCATAAAAAAAGTGAAAATTCAGACATATGTTTCATGACCAACAAGGATTCACACAGATAAAGTATGCAGACATTCATTCTTATGGTCTCTCACCCTCAGCCCATTCATTCACTCCTCAGCTCAGGTGAGGAACAGAAAAATGTGCATTACCCCACACTACGAATGTTCTTGCCTGTTGCAACTTCCCTCTGGTTATCTTGTTTGCTTTCCCACACAACTACACAGAGAGTATCTATGGGAGTTCAGCTGGAGGCATATACTTGCAAAATCTTGACCGTCTGCCACTGGTAGGCAGGCCTGAGACAGTGGGAGTCAGATGCAGTGCAACTCTTCCTTTGCCCTCATGGGCTATCTTGAATATGTAAACACTCAGAAGGAAGTCCCAGTTAGTTAAATGGGATTTTCTTCTAAGGGCATAGGAAGACTGGTTGAGTCAGCTAGGAGAGTGATCAATGGCTGAAATCCAGTGGTCACAACTAGAGTAGGTCCATTGAATCAGTGGGAATTTGGTGAGTCAAATCCTCTGACCCAGCTCCATTGACCCTGCTGAGATTACTCTAGTTGCAACTTTAGAATAAGAAGTTGCAACTACAGTAGCCTCATTTGAATAAATGGAACTTATGGATTTGGGTCACCAACTATTCAGGGGGTCTACACTAGCGTGACTTTACAGGATTTCAGACAATATTTTTGTTTCATTGGCCTAAGGCAGATGATGGTACGAACTTGTGTTTCATAACACAGTACAGTATAGTAGTCAAGGTGCTGAAGCATGTAGTGGCTAATCAATTCCCTCTGTACCCCCAAATCAGAATTGAGGGTAAAATTATATTACCTTGGAGGTTTATATTAAAGTGTACTGTAGTGGACCTGGGTTTGTATCCCTGTTTGGTCCATGGAAATTCTCACTTACCTTGAAAGCAAAAGTTGTTGCTGTTACATGCCGTCAAGTTGCCCATGACTTAGGACAATCCCATAAATGAGTACTCTCCAGAATGTCTTGTCTTCAACAGCCATGCTCAGCTCTTGCAAATTCAAGCCCGTGGCTTCCTTTAGGGAGTCAGTCCATCTCATATTTAGTTTTCCTCTTTTCCTGCTACCTTCTAACTTTCCCAATATTATAGTATTTTCCAGAGAATCCCGTCTTCTCAGGATGTGTGCAAAGTAGAACAGCCTCCATTTCATAATTTTAGCCTCCAGACATAGATAGTTCAGGCTTGATTTGATCTAGCACCATTTGCTTGTCTTTCTGACAATCCAAGGAATCCACAAAGCTCTCCTCCATCACTGCATTTCAAATGCACCATTACCCTCGTCAGCTTTCTTAACTGTCCAGCTTTCACGCCCATATATGGTGATTGAAAAAACAATATTGTGAATGATCCTTAAGCCCGATTAAGGTCACTATAAATTGATTCCAACTTGACAGCACATAACACATAATTTTATGAAAAGGATAACATTTCCACACTTAGAAATGAACAAGATTTATTCATTAGATACCTGACCTGTAAACTGGAAATCCACAACTTAAAGCATGGATTTGGTGTTAAGTAACCTTATCTTTGCTCCCTGTCTGAACAGAATGGAGTAGAATAATGCTGACCTGCCTTACAAGATTTTTGCAGAAATTATTGACATAAAGAGATTTTGTGCTTGAAAACACTGTATATACTAATAACCCCATGCCAGGCAGGTCCCACCCAAAGTAGCCAGGAGGGTTTCAAGCTCTAGATATTGCTGGAACTTGTCTTTATTCGAATTCGGAAGCCGGGTTTAAGACCTTTAAGTTAGGGACTGTGAACCCCTCTCCTAACAGTCCACAGCAGGTAATATTTTCCTTTACTAGCACCATTGCCCAATGTCCTTAAATGAGCCCCGGTTCCCTTCCCAAGGCTGGGGTCAAGTTTGCAGCACTGACCTGCATTAGCCAACGCCCTTCAGGGACAGCCGGTATTGCTGGGCCACTGGAGGTCCTGAAGTCCCAGCAGCTTGTCCTGCTCCTGGGTTAACTGCTGCAACCCCTGTTTGTGCCTCTTCCTCTACCAGCACCTCTTCTGGGTGGATCTGCTGAGTTAGAGGGTGGCCAGGCATCTGTACCATCATCATGGATGGGCAGTACAACAACTGAAATTGTTCCCCATCCACAAGTCTTGGAGCAGGAGCAGCTGGTTTTCATCAAGGGCACAGAAGATAGGAGAGGATGAGCTAAACCTGGAGGGTGAAGCCTTAGCCAAAGCAGGACTCTGTGTCCAAAGGAGGACAATGAACCTCATCCTCATCCTCCCCCTTTAAACCTGGCTCTTGCCATCCTGCCTTGGCTCAGAATCCATCCTCCAGATGTAGCTCATCCATCTTTAGACTTCCCACCAGGACCCCTTTCTTCCCGTCTGCACCCTGACATCAGGATCTCCAGATAGTCCAGTGGGGACTTGGGGGCCAAGGCAGATGGCCCAGTGAGGACAAATGGAATGTCCCTCTCAGAAGTCTGTATCAGAAAAAAAAACTTGTGTCAATTTTTCTCACACTGAAATGGTTTAACACCCAAGTTCTTGCAATCACGAACAGGAAAAAAAATAATGAAGGTTTTCCCAAACTCTCCAAAAGCCAGCCAGAATGAAAATGTGTACATTGGTTGGATTCATTTTTATCTAGCATCAACTCCCCTCTGAATTATGGCAACTCCATGAATGAATGACCCCCCAAAATATGCTTTCATCAACAGCCCTGCTCATGTCTTGCAAGCTCAAGGCTGTACCTTCCTTTACTGAGTCAACCCATCTGGATGCAGCTGTTTCCAGGAGTGAATGAATCATGTTGTATTTGCTTACCACACAGATGTAAAAAATGTGGAGCCTGGCAGAAAAAGAGAGATGGCAACCCTGATTCAGCACGAAGATGACTGAGGACATAAGAATTCAAATCCAGACTTAATGGGTTAAGTGCCCGGATCTCTGGGCCTAGATGGATGGATCTTATTTAAGCTTCTCCCACATTCATTTTTATTTTTCAAATCTAAAGTTAGTTCTGTCCAAAATACTTCAATGGGATTTACTCTCCTAAGCATGTTTATAAAGAACTGCAATATTAATGTAACTGATTTTTATTTATTTATTTATTTTACCATATCAGATGACTGCAAAGAAGTCTCCTGGGCAAGATAAATTCATATGCAGAGACAACTGACAGCTGATCAATCAAGAAGGAAGAGGACAATTCCCAAAAGCTCCATAAAATTCTTCTCCCCTTCTGGCCCATTCTCCTCTAATAGCTGATATCCCCAAATCTGAATCCCAGGAGTAAAAGCTTTCTTTCCAAATATTTGGAGATATATGAGGATCCCAGAGCAACTTATTCTCTAGTATCCATTCAGCTTTAAAAAGTGGAACCTACAACAGAATGCTGTAGTCAGGACTGTTCCTGTTCATTGTTCCAGTCAGGAGTACAGTTCTACAGGACACCCATTTCCACATCCTCTGTCAAGCAGCTGATAAGCCTTCCATGGCCACAGAGCATACCTAGACTTTCTTGAGATCTTTTTGGGGACCCTCACTTAAATTTATGTGTGTATGGGGGGGGCAAATTTGTAAATGGGATTTACAAAGCCAGCTCTTCAGTCTGGGTTGTGCTATTTTGCGCATCAGAAGGAAGGGGATTGTAACGTAATAATTACACTTGCTCTTTTCCTTCCTTTTTTAAAGCCTCCACTGCCCCTTTATCTTATTCTAGGGTTTACTTTTCTGTCTTTATCGCCCCCAGTCTTCTCACCCTGTCCCTCTGCTGTTGGGCACAGCTGCTTAAGCCAGACAATAGCAGGCCAAGCAGCAGGAGAAAGCAGGGGAACAGCTGTTCTCTACACCAAACCCTAATTTATATGCAGGAGACGTAGCAAGGACAGCACTTTGAGCTATAGTATTATCCAGGATATCTTCTAGAGCTGAGAATGACAGCTTAGCAAATGCTCTGAACTTCTGATTTTGCTCCCTCTGCTTCACATCATTCCTTAGAAAAGATTGTGCATTATGGACTATGTGATTGTCTCCCAAACCTTTGATGCACGGGTACAAGAACGGGATTTATTTTCTTTTTTATGCTCAAAAAGTTATATACATGAATTTTCACAATAAGAATAGTGAGCAGGTCACTCTTTTCAATTGCCGAATCACAAAGAGTAATCTAATTGAGCCCTGGAATACAGTAGTCCTGGTCAGTATTGCTTCCTGCTGTTCAAGGCTTCCTTTTTCTCAGTTGGGGGAGGTACCAATTCCATGTTTTGGGGTACACTTGGATAAGGTCTTCACAGCGGTCCCGCAAAACTACTACCACCCCACATTCATTAGCCTCTTCTGCAGGGATAAATCTACATGATTTCCCAAGCAGAGAAGGCAGGTTGATCCCAATGCTCTTCCTCCTTGCCCCTCTCATGGCTAACTCAGAAAGGGCAGCTGAGTAGGCAATTATCAGGATGTGGAGACTACCAAGTTTGTATCTAGGCCACATACTCATCATGGTTCCCAGCAGGTGCACAACAGTGACACTCCTTGATGTCAGACTTCCTGGTGCTGCTGAGATCTGCTAAATTTGTCAGCTGCCACCTGGACAACATAAGGAAATCTCAAGTCTTCCATCTTTCAGGATTATGTTACCATCTCACAGAAATAAGAGGCAAGGAATAAATGCTCCACTGGCTTTCCCAATCTAATGGCCATAGAGTGATGGAGACAGCCAAGAAGATGCATTTTATTTTTCAAGGCAAACTTCTCAGCTCCACCTATGTGCTATTGTGTCCCAACCTACAGCTCATCTCCTGACATACTGATAGGGGTGTCTGCTATAACATGGGATGATTGTTTCAAGTGCAACCTTAGCCAGAAATTTCCCCACTGTGTGCTCTTGTCTGAGCTAAGTATGCTGTCTTGAGTACAGTCTAACTTGGGGCTTGACTTTTATTTATTTATTTTTAATTACAGCTGTGGCATTCTGAGAGTTTATACAGAAAAAGTGGTATTTTCAAGCTCTATACATCTGAATATGTACTCATGGCACTGTGGTGCACATAATTAGGCACATCTCTATGCTTCCCAGAACAACTTGAAGTCTTATGGCACCTGAAAGAATAATGTATTAATCTCTCAGTGGGACAACACAGTTAGATTTTCCAGAATGGTCACAAGGATAGCTGTAATAGTGTAGACGGCAGGCTTTGTACACTGAAAAGGTGCAGAAATTAATGAAGGAGCAACAATCCAGCAAAAATTAACTGTTCTTTCTCTGCCTCAGATTTTGAAGACAGCCACATTTCTCTATGAATGAGTTCTTTTTCCTGCTCTTTTAAAGTCAGATATTTAGAATCAGTATGTAGTCAGAGTTCTATTAGCCATGCAGTGAGTCTGTACAAAGCTAGTTATTCAGTTAAGCTCGGTTCATCTGATCAGTCATTATTTTTCTACAATAATGCTGTTTGTTTTTGATCTGTTATAGAACTGTAAGTAAATGGACTTTTTTTTTCTTACCACTATCTCTGAATGAGTTTTTGAGACACTAAGTGCCAGTTGAAGAGAACTAAGCTATAAGGAGTGGTCTACTGAGGGGAGACTTGAAGCCAATTATGTTCTGTAGGTCCCTGAGCATTTTTCTCCTGTGCAGTTGTTTTTTTTCCTAGCCAGTAATTTTTCACATTGCCAAGAGAAAATAAGATACCTGGTTAACACAAGATTCTAGAGGATCAAGGATTTCCAATCTTCATCCTGATCCAGTCACTTCTCACTGGAAATATCACAATCTATTTCTTACAAGCTAATCATAATAAAATCAAGCCACACCAATGTAAGAATGCATTTTTTAAAAATAACTTTAGTTTAATTGATTTACAACAACTAAACAATAATTAAAAAGCATAAAAGTATGGATCAAGAACCAAATTAATATATCAGATGAGATACAACAAAAATAAAGAGGTTTTTAAAATCCAGATACCAAACTGGACTACTGAAAGTGGGCAGTTCTGTTGGATGGAAAAAAAAATTCAAGCTGTCCTTCGTCTTTTCAATATATGGACATAACTTTTAAAACTATCCTTTCAGCAGGGATAGTATTTATTTTTAAACTAACTACTTAAACACATCATGGTAAAAACAGACTTGTTTATAAAATAAAACAGCCACAGCTTCAGCATTAGTCAGTGGTTGACCTTCTATACCAAAATCGAGCTCTGTAATCATCACTGCAAGTCATGAAGCCTGGATTGGTGGGAGAATGGACAATACAGCGAACTATGCTGTTATGCCCCAAGGAAAGAAGGTTCCTTCGTTCAGCAGTTCGTGAGTCCCAGCAGCAGAGGCTGATGGTTCTTTCATCTGGAAGCAGCACATAGTCTTCTGTGTGATTGAAGACAGCCTGTGTCCTGTGGACTTGGCGTCCACTCAGTCCAGCTCCTGCAAGTGCAACAACACATATACTTTCAAAAACTTTTTAAAGAATGAAATATGTATTTAAGGAACATAGAGTTAATCCTGAATTATATCTACCCTTTACCAACTCCCCAACACTGACAAGCAACCTTTTCCAAAATCAAAATAAAATCATAAAATGACTTAACAATTGAGCAAATGCTTATTTAATAAAAACTAATATAATTCCTCTACAGAATCCAAATGCTTATTTAATAAAAACTAATATAATTCCTCTACAGAATCCTATGTTCTCCCTAAAGTAGGCAGGCTACAGAACAACTGCACTGCTCTCTGTTCCTCCACTACCTGGAATGAAAAATCAAAGATGTTTCAGTATGCTAAGGCTGCACCCTGCTGGCTTAAACTGAAACGTTCAGTATGACAAACTATTCATCTCTAAAGTATGAGTTATTACACAGAAATCAGTTCAACCAATTTATTTCTTGAATTTTATAGGAATTGTTGTTACTTCATTAGGATCTCACATTAGAGATGAAAGGAAGAAACTATGTCAATGGTGCTTGGGGGGGGAAGGAAACACACAATTTCTAAACTAGGTATTATTGGGAGAAAGTTAACTGATCCATGAACTGACAGAAATTGCTCTAGGGAGACACTTCTGATTAAACAGATCAGTTATCCTTTAACACAAGCGTATCCTGTGGGACAAGACTGCAGATGGTACCCACAATTTCTACAAAATCTGGAAGATTTTTGGGAAGAAAGGCAAACAAGTAATTATTATACTAAATACATACAAATATATGATCAATAAAAGTATGAATGTTCTTTTTTTAATGTTCATGAGGTTATATACTTATACACCAAAGAAAATTATTTGCAGAAACCCCTAGACTAATTTTAAAGATTTTATACAACCCTTCTGAGCTTTTTATAATTTTTCTCAGGATCACTCTGAAAGCAAACCCCTTTGGTCCCACCAGATAAGTTTTGATTAAGTGATGGTAGTGAGATTCATTTGCCCTCTGAGCAGACAAAACTGTTGTGGTTCTCACTTTTTTTAATCTAAATGTCTTATCCATAGGTTAAATTCTGTACTAATTAAACTGAGATGCATACAAAGAGATTCACAAAGCAGCCTTCTAATGTCTTGTTTGGCAACCAAGGTGTAAACATTATGACCAACTCAAGAGGTATCTGAAAGTCATACTAGCATCAAAATAAAGTATTTAAGTGCATTTTACCAGATTGAGTGGCCAACATGCTTTTTGTTAGGATTATGCAAATGGAATAATATAATGTTTGTTTCTTTTACCCACCTGTATATTTGACCAGTGTTCTCCCTGTAGATATTTCCCACAGTTTGGCTACAGAGTCCTTTCCACTTGACAGAATATACTTGGAATTCTTAGAGAAAATGGCAGAACAGACTTCAGCTCCATCATGCGCTTTCTCGAAGGTAGTGATACAACGATTTGAAACACCATCCCACAGTTTGATGCATCCATCTTTGCTGCCTGTTACGTACATGTTAGCACTTGCATTATAATTAACTGAGCATATGGCATCAGTATGCTGGTCTCGAGGATTGCAGGAAACAAAGCACTGGAACGTATTGACATCATACAGCCGCAGAGTAGGATGCTGGGTGCCAACAAGTATGAAGTCACCAGAAGGATGAAAGGAGATTGAGCGCAGCATTTCTGCTTCCTGTGTAGTTGGAAAATATGTAAACAACACTAAAAGGAATCCACTACAAACATAACTAAAAACCAGAGTTGCACCAACTGCTTTATAATAATGAATTCATTCCCAAAGAAGATAATTGCTATACAAACAAGTCAGATAGGATACTGCATGCCAAACAACATCATAATAAAAAACAAAAAGTTTGGCTTGTGCACAACTATGTCCTCCACTTTGTATATTGCATAGTGTTAAATACAGGGCATACATTCATGTGAAGAATTTTGTAAAGCTAGCTCATATCTGAAATACTTCAACATCTGATACCTCTTTTCAGTTTAACAAAGAAGAGTTACTGGAAAAGATAGAAACAAACACCTAATATGGATACTGGGCATTATCCTTTTGTAGCAGTTGGAAGTTACAGCCACAAGTATCATTTATGTCCATGCAGCTGACATTACAAACTCAGTTTCTCAATCTCACAACAGTTTTAGTTCTGCGAACATTCATGAACACAATTCAGTGATACCAACAATATCTGCATGTCAAATTCTGGGAATCATCATCAGTTATATTTCATGTTCTTTTTACAGGTATAATTAAAATATCTAACCTGTATGTATTTGAAGGCTCTTTTAGCAGATGGTTTTGAATAGTCGAATAATTTAAGTGTGTAATCTCTTGAACCTGAGGCAAGTATTTGTTCTGTTGGATGAAAAGCTAAACATGTCACCTCATCCACATGATCATAAAGAGTCCTAATAACTGGGTGGTTCTCCATATTTTGTTGAGCTGTTTCATTCATCATAACCTAAAGAAAACAATCAGGAAAGGTAACACTATAAACATACTTTTAATATGATTGAAGACCCAAAGGGATACAAGAATGGACTTAACTTCACACAAGATGACGAATTAGCATCCTTCCACATCTCTTCATACAGCACTTTTAACATAACCATTTCTCATTCACAATTCAACCCACTTAATACGACTGTCTTAGAAATGAAAAATGATGCTGAAAAACCAGGACCTTCTAAATCTCTGGCTCTGATTCAGTAAGAGAACTAACACTATTGATTGACATAAAAATGGGGGTCATATATTCAATAATATAAAACAGCAATTTCACATAATCAGAAACATCACCCCAAAACTAAGTGCCAGTTTTTTTAAATAGAATAATGGAGTTGGAAGGCGTATATAAGACCACCAAACCTCCCCTGCTTGCTTTTTAAACTAGATGATGGACTTGTAGTTTAGGGGCATTTTCTTTTCTCCACTTGTACACTTTCTCTTTTTCTTGTTTTATTTAAGCAGAGCAAAAAAAAGGTATAACTTTAAAAACCTTTACTTTAAAACTCTGCTTCAGTGTAAACAGTGATGTGGGTTTTATATAATATTTTAAATCAAAAAATAAATCCAGAAAATACTTCTAATATTTTCCACTCTGCCTTTACAACAAGTAAGATCCAGTTTAGTATGTATATTAATTATATTTAGAATGCAACCCTATAAACCCTTGGCAGACAGTAAATCTCAATAACTTCAATGAGGCATATGTGACAGTTGTTAATAACCAAAACTGAACTGATATGGCATAACAATCTCGTGTGTATAACATTATTCTTTCAAATTCTAAAAGTTGAACATATGGTATGGTGAGCAACAATTCCAACTCATAGCTGCATTTTGACTGTTCTCCTTGTTAGTAAAAAAAACACAAACAAGAAAAAACAGACATTTTACTTGTCTTTTTTTGCTTCACAATGAATGCTCCTGTAGTTAAATGGAATGTTTGCATGGTAATTTAAGTATGATATATAAAATTTCATTTAACTGAAATGTTGTCCCTCCATGTTTGTATATTTGTTCCAACTCATAGCTGCATTTTGACTGTTCTCCTTGTTAGTAAAAAAAACACAAACAAGAAAAAACAGACATTTTACTTGTCTTTTTTTGCTTCACAATGAATGCTCCTGTAGTTAAATGGAATGTTTGCATGGTAATTTAAGTATGATATATAAAATTTCATTTAACTGAAATGTTGTCCCTCCATGTTTGTATATTTGTTGCTGTGTATTTGGAACTACAACTAAATCAATGTTTTGCTTAGTTTTTGTGATCCTTGAGAACAGAGAATTTTCCACTGTAACTAGAAAGACACATTTAACATGATATTTTAAAGGTCCATTACTGTTTGGGTATTTACCTCAATAGGCATTGCACTCTTTGCCAGCATTCTTTCTGTATCAAGTATTTTTATTGAAGCATCAGCCGATCCTGTAGCTATTAACTGTCCATCTCTGCTGTATGTAGCAACACGACATGGTCCTTTGTGAGATGTGACATAACATGTTTCATATTCAGAAGCTTCTGGAGACATAGTTTGTACATCTGCATCAAACTCTAAGTCAATCCCTGTGCCAGGAGCCACTGTATCAGATCGCCCAATTGCATACTGAACTGCACTATCATCATTTTCCATTCCTGTGGGGGGAAAAAAGAATACTGTACAGATATTTTCTCCCAAACTTTAAATAGGCAAAACACCAGTAAGTCTCAAGCCTGGTTTGGATTTTTGAGGGAAATGAGCATCTTCAATATGCCATCATCTATGTTATTTATCAAGTAACACCTCAAATCTCACTTCAGTACTGTATTATGCTTTTAAGTTTGATTAACAGGGAAGAATCAGAATTAGGTCAACAGCCCAGACTGCTTCTTCAAAGACAGACTTCTGATAATTAAAAGCATGATCACAAAATCAAAGAATAGTACAGCTAGACCCAAGAACTCTTAGACTCCAATTCCCTGTCAAAGCAAAAAAATCCAAAGCTAAAGTATTCCTGCTGGATAGCCACCAAACCTATGTTTAACATCTCCGAAATGGAACATATACAGCCTTTCAAGATATTTCATTGCCAGCTAGTTTTTACTGTCAGGAAACAAGGTAAACAATACAGAACTCAGCTTACAAATATATGCTTAAACATGACATCTCAAATCTGTTTTGCTTTTGGACATCACAACTTACCCAGTTTAATAAGATGCAACAGCTGTTCAGAGGGTGCACATACAGACTGTGGCTTTACCTCATTGATCAGACCATTAGCAATGTTGATATATCCATCATATAGTAACTGACTAATGATCAGCTTGTAAAGTTGTTGCCTGTCTTTCAGGCTCACTTTTGGTCTATACATTGTGAGTGATGGCTGTCTTCCAGCAGTCTGAAATAAAGAGAAAGCAACTGCTTTGCACATTCCAACCAACTTCGATGTTGGTGCAATAATACAAAAATCTGTTACTGACTGGAGCAGACACGCTGAGTTACAGAGAAAGAAACATATCTTTAGGTAGTTGGATCCTAAACTATTTATTCCAGCAACAATGTGCAGAACTAATTTTAATAGCTTCTGAAAATTCTGCCTATTAAACTGTATAAAGATTATATAAAAAGAACTACTGTCATCAGAAACATCAGGTTACAACCAGCAGGGTTGCCATGAAATGGGGGGCACCCTTTGAGGAGTACTAAAGGCTGGGGACAATTACTCTGGACATTTCTTTTTACTATACATGCTCTGCTGACTCTGTTTTAGAGAACTGAGGACTTATTTCACTGCAGTTCCAGACACAAAAATGTACCTGAGAAAGAGGAAACAAGGGGGGAGGGAGAGAAAGTATGTACTGGACATAATATGGAAGGACAGCATTAAAAAGCCCATGTCTTTGATACCATAGTATCAGTTAATGCTAATAGCACCCTGCTCTGCTACTCCTTGTCACCTGACATCAGTGGAGCAGTCAGGGTCCCTAAATACTAAAAAACTAAAACTAAAATTCTGAAAGACAGAAGTACTGCTAGTCAGTAAAAAGTCAAGTCCAACAGTTTCAATTCAACCCATTTTACAGTGGGTTGCACGCCCTTTGACAGGGTATGTTTACAATCTGAGGTGCTCCTTGACTCTGCACCATCTCTACATTCCCAGGTGGTGGTGGAGAAGTGTCCTTGCACAACTCCATTCACTGCACCAGCTCCAAACTTTACTTAGCTTACCTGACTGAGCAACAATAATCCATCCCTCCATTACACTGTATCTGGACTGCTGCACTGTGCAGCAGGGTCTACGATCTTCAATGGACACAATATGCAGCAACTTAGCTGCTAATTCATGCATAATATCAAGATCAATATGAACTTCATACTCAAAGACTGCACTAGTTGCCCATTGTATTTCCAGGCCCAATTCAATATGGTTACAAATCTTCAAGCCTCTAAATGGCTTGGGGTCTGACATTTTAGAATAGAATGTCAAGATCTTATTTATGTTATTCTGCAAATAAATTCTACTCTTAGGATGCTGCTACTTCATAGATAACTGCACAGAACTGCAGCAGCTGTAGTGAAGAAGGCTACACAATGCACCTCATAAACCCATAGCTTTTGACGATAATCCATTTTCCTTTACTTGTACTCTTAAACTACATTATGAAAAATTGCATGGCCAACGGGGAGCCCAGCCCTTCCTTATCCAACAGAACAGTTACCAAGAGAAAGACCACGGGGGTGGGTCGAGGCGGTTGCAAATTAAAATGGGAAGGGCAGTTTCCGCCGACCGCCCACGAGGAGGGAATGGCCTAAGGCAGTAACTGCTACCATTTATGGGCCCGGGTATCCCCGGTTCCTACCAGCTCGTCTTTTGGTCTTGGTCGATCCGAGCTAGAAATGGTCGTGGGAGGCCCGACAGCGTCGAACGGCAATTGGGCCGGCAAAGCGTGCGAGATCGGCGGCGGCGGCGGCAGCAACCGGGGCCAAGGACCACTCCGTCGAACAGGCTGTTGCATCGAGTTCCCGCACATCGATTGAAGCCGCGGCTGCAAGGAAGAGGAAGCGATCGCAGCACAAGTCACACAGAAGATGACCGTGCGCATGCGTCACTGCCAACTACAGCAGTAACGAGTACAGTATTTGTTAATTTCCAAAGAGGTAGTTCTTCTTAATATCACAGCATATCAAAGAAATAAAAGACAAGAAGACTCGTAGCACGTTTATGACAGATTTATTTTAGCATGAGCTTTCGTGAACTGTAGCCTATGAAATGCATCTAGGAAAGAAGAATGTAACCCATGAAAGCTCAAACTAAAATAAATTAAAGGCACTACAAGATTTTTCCCCTCTGGTGAGTTTTCTGTGCTTTAAGTGGAAGAAATCGCCAAAGTAAAGCTTTCCATAGCAATGTCCCTTCATCTTGGGAGGAATATGTTCTGTTCTTAAATATAAGCTATCACCCAGATTGCAAGGTTGGTGTCAACACTGGTGCACAGCAGTCACTCCATTCACGTTTCAAGGATCTATAATTTAATTCAAGATGGAAAAGGCATGCAGCTTAAACCATTGCACTGATATCCTGAAACCGTATGCGTACTAATGGAAAAAAGAAAGGCTTTTGGAGCTCTGGTGTAGAGAATGGTACAAACAATACAAAGTCTAAAAATTAGATCCCACATGTATTTTAGCTTAAGATATTGCTGTACTGTACAGTAGGATGACTTATAAAGCCCTGAAACAATTCTCCCAAGTGGATTGTTAACATCTAGAGGTGCTCCATCCTAAATGGCAAACCAGTGGTTGATCCTGCTGTACAGACTGCCATGGCACCATTCAACAAGACTATTCATTTAATATTTATGTAATTATTCTTTATATCCTGCCCTTCCAATTAGTCCAAGACAGTGCACATCATTCTTCTCCTGCTCATTAATCCTGAGGGGGGGGGGAGAATCTGAGATAGATCAGGCTGAAAAAGTCTGACTAGGCAAAGACCAACTGGTGAATCTCCCAAAATCTCACTGAACTCTACACCACACTGGCTCTCCATAGCATCCAATGGATCTAAGCCTGTACAACACCAGTTTTCTTTTGTTCTCCTTCCATCCCTTGGTCATCCAAGGCCTTCACAACTCAAGTAAAGGTGCAAAGAGTTTGAAACTCAGTTAGAGGAAAAATAAATGAGTACTGTTCAAGATTAAGGGTAACATGGAGATAATCAATGCCTTCTAGTTGTGATGTTTCCCATTACTAACTGCAAGAGAGGATTAGTGGAATCCTATTGTCTTGTTTCTGGACTTTCCATACATCCTGAGAACAGAAGAGATCTACAGTCTTTGTGTCTTATGTATAGACTTTATTTATTTTTATTTATTGATTTCATTTATATCCCGCCTATCTGGTCGTGTCAGAACCACTCTAGGCGGCTAAGAATATTAAAAGATAATACAATAAATATACGTATAAACAATTTTACATAACAGAAATACTGAACAGAATGGGAAAGCTGAAGGAGAGGGGGGGGGAAGAGGGCGTCAGGAATTATCTGGTGGGAAGGCCTGCCTAAACATCCATGTTTTTAATTGATTCTTAAAAATACCCAGCGAGGGGGCCACGCGAATCTCAGGACTTCCCCCAGTCTAGTTGGCCACTGTGGGAGGAGAATGCTAGACTAGATTGGTTTTGGTCTGATCCACTATAATCTGGAGTATAGTTTGTTTCAACACACAAAAAAATTACTGTACATGTCAAGAGTTACACAATCCCTGCCATCACAAGGAACAGTTCTACTTACATCAGACTCAAGAAATGGTAGTCGTGTTGGTCGTGATTCATTGGTAGGCGAGACCATGTTATTCATGCCCCACGGAAGCTGCCACCTATCACACGCTGGAGCAATACGACGATTTGTCATTCTTCCTCATGACACGAGTAAATCTATTGTATTTGGAGTGCCCTCTGAAATATTCTCACTGTCCTCCACAATCCAATTATTTGCAGATCTTCTACCTCGCCTTTTAAAATAGTGTATCAATTGTGTGCCTGCCCTGGTTTTCCCAAAACAGTTTTATACATTCCTATCACACTAAGTGGGTGAAGCACTTCAACTCTACTATTTTTGGCTGTAAGTGGTTCTTTCCCTATCCCAATTATTTGCAGATCTTCTACCTCGCCTTTTAAAATAATGTATCAATTGTGTGTCTGCCCTGGTTTCCCCAAAACAGTTTTATACATTCCTGTCACACTAAGTGGGTAAAGCACTTCAACTCTACTATTTTTGGTTGTAAGTGGTTCTTTCCGCTATAACTTATCCTGTGAGAAGTCACCAACTTCTGCCTTGATATATATGATAAAGGCAGATCTTCTACCTCGCCTTTTAAAATAATGTATCAATTGTGTGTCTGCCCTGGTTTCCCCAAAACAGTTTTATACATTCCTGTCACACTAAGTGGGTAAAGCACTTCAACTCTACTATTTTTGGTTGTAAGTGGTTCTTTCCGCTATAACTTATCCTGTGAGAAGTCACCAACTTCTGCCTTGATATATATGATAAAGCAGCAGCAAAATGTCTATAACAGAGTTCACTGTTATTGTGGGAAATCTAGTTTTCTCTCCTTTTCTTTCATGCTCATCATTGCTTTTCCTACCAAGAGTATCATGCATTTGCTGCAGTTTGCCCCTTATTTGACTCACTAGCCAAATATCCACATCCCTTGCTCTTCTGAAAAAATAGGGGCAAAGCTGTCTTCTGGTATATTCTTGTTGATCCACAAGACTATACATAAAACTGGCCCTATAGTCATTAGCAAAGCAGAAAAATCATAGATCACCAGGAACACAACATCCTGCTCCAAGTGACCTCTTTAAAAATGTTATGTCAGAAGGAAACTTTCCACCATTCCTTCAAGAAACATTTTGTTGATACGCCAAAGCCACGTCTCCCTTGTAGGAATGCTGTGATTTACTGGAGCTTACCAGTGGTCCCAAAGAGCGCCTCTGTGTCCTGTGGGGCCAGCCTTCCTAAAGAAAATGGCTGCCCATTTCTTAATTTTCCCTCTCAATTTTGAAGGTGAAAAGAGCAAATGGAAACCACACTTTTCTGCCTTCTATTGCATTTTCTTTTATCTGAAAACTATTATAGGCCTGGAGCTCACATTTCCTACCTGAGAAGCTGTTTGTAGCGCCTGTCGTCACCCTAGAGTAACGACTTGCACACAACACCCCTGCCGTGTAGGGTAGATGAATAGTCTCAGGCAAACTATAAGTTAGGGGCTCCAGCACAAAAGACTACATAGCGAGGGACAGACACCTACAAGTCCCCACTCAACCTCGGCTTAACCCCATCATACTCTTATTACTGAGGCGGGAAGGGTATATTCCTTCCTGTCACCGTTCAGATCAGCTACGCCGCGAACGCGAGCGCAATTTACGTAAGGAAACACAAACGAACCCTATTCTTAACTTTAAGGCGGCCCTTTTGCGCAATCGGCGTAGAGCATGTCTACCAAAGAATAGCCTACGCTACGCTGAGAACGCACACGGAAAATACAGTATCTCGGTGGTAGAGGTGGTGACAGTTCGCACCAATCGAGGAAAGGGGGAAGAGAAGGCCGTTGCTCAAGCCCCGCCCAATTCCACCCTCTCCTAGCTTCCTTTGCTTCACGCATGCGAAGTTGCCCCGAGCCTCTGAAAACACCGTTTCCCCCTCAGCTGAGACAGTTACTAGCCGGTGAATGGGCGGAGGAAGCGAAACGGTCAGCCAATGTCGTCGCGTGAAGGCAACGCGTCTCACCAATCAGAACGCGGCGGCGGTTTAAAGGGCGTTGGAGGAGGTTTGAATTCAAACTCCTTTCCAGGAGGAGTGGTGTGCGTGTGGTCGAGGTGAGTGGGCTTTTTTTTTCTTTTCTCCCCTTCGCCCCTGTTACCGTTTTCGGGTTAAATCTTTAACTTCCAATCCTAAACAGAGAAGCCTGTTGGCTCATTATTGATCATACGTTCTAGAAGTTTTATTTGAACGTTAAAAGCGCGTTAAATAAAAGATTGCAAGACAGGAAGCATAATCACGTTAATCAACTGGGGCTTTCTGGTTGTGCCTTATAATGTGGTAGGTACAAGATGATTTCTAGGAAGATGAATGTTCTCAGAATGCAGATTGAGAGCTGATTTAGTGCAGTGGATACATATCTGATGAAGGCTCAAGAGACCCAGAGCTTTAAAGCCTGTTGGTTATTACTATCTTCTAGTTTGAGCTTTTTTCTGGCTGTGCTGTTTTGAAGATAAAATGGCGATCTGCATAGTTTGGCAGAATTCTTTTAAGAAGAAAAAAAAAGTGGAAACTGGATATGTAGTTCTTCTTTAAGGGACAAGCTGAGAAGGTTTCCTTGCTTGGCAGACCACCTTTGGCTTTTATTGGGAGAAAGAAGCAACTAGAAGTAGGTAGAAGCCTCCATCCTCTCCTCAGAGGCTGCTTAATTTGCTTCAGGTCAGTGTGTTCCAGGCAGTTTTAATTAATACTTTTTAGTTGGTGAAATGTGTTTTCCCAACCTCCCAACAGCAATTAAGAAATGTAATGACTGAAATAATTTTTAGCATGGTATGTTGCACTAGCGTATGCCCATTGAACCATTGTGATTTAGTGTAGTTGACACTTGTAAATCATTGATTCAAATGGGTCTACTCTAGTGGTGACCTCTTATGTTGAGTAGCAAGATTTCTACAGCTAAAGCACTGGAAGATTTTGTAGTTTGTCTTTGGTTCTTTAAACCAATGCCTTGGATTTAGTTTGACTGCTTTATAAGGAAGGATCATTTGCAGTATTAATAACAGACTGGAAGACAGTTACTTCTTTTGCTAGTTGGAAGTTCTTAAATAAGATTCAGGCGAAACCATGCTGTATTCTTAGTCCCTTGAGTGATGTGGCTGCCTAAGTGTAATGAAAATAGAGATAAGTGCTGTGTGGGACAGACCTAAAAAGGTAAATGTGATACTGTAGGTTTAGTTCTCAAGACATAGTTGTTAAAGAATCATTGACCTGTGGTATGAAAGTTGTACTCTTAAATCTCTGCAGGGCTGAATGATTAAACTTCAGTTCTTCCCAGACAAAAATGGAGAAAATTGGTAAAGAGAACCTGAAAGGACATCCATGTCATCACAGCAAGGTAAAAAACCTCTTGCATGGATTGAAAAATAAATATGACTTTGTTAATCTTAAGATGTACAGTTCTCACTTGGATATTTCTCTGAGCTGACTAATTGAGATGTGTGAGCTATTTTTTCCTTTGTACTGTATTGAGAACATAGCTAATTTGTAGCATAACATTGTACATCTTCAAAATGCTCAGCTTAGAGGCCCTTGGACTGAGGTACTTCCACTTATCCATGCATTAGAGGATAAGATAAAAAGCTTCCACTTATGGTTTTGTGCAGGCCCAGTTGTATAGAATTACTTGTGGTTGGGGAGGGGGAATATTTATTTAATCTCTGGTTATTTTGAAAAATAGCCTAGCCCCCATTTCAGGATAGCTATCCAGATAGATCGCAACCCTCTGATACACAAGAATTTCTTCAATAGTTTCTAAAACAGTAGATGATGTGAATGGGCCATCATTTCCGAGAACTGCACTATTAAAAAGTCTTACCTGGCTGCCATGGCAAACCTGATAGGTAGACTTCTTCCTCGTGTAAGTCTCCAGGAAAAAAAAACTGGGCTACACTTCTGTAACTGTTCATGTGTTTGCCCTTTGTTACCTCTTGAGTAGTGAATGTTACTGTCTCTGCTGGCAAGTTTGGAATGTTTCTTTAGGGACCTACAGGTAAGTTATTTAGGTAATAGAGAACTTATTTTTTACTTGGCTTAACTAATTTCATCCTTCTTAAACTTAATAAATGTTCATTGGAATATCTGGCTTGACTGTGTACTTTGACATCTTTAGTCCATTTCCCACCCCCAATATGCCATGAGTGCTGCATGCTTTGGTGTGGTAGGGGGCCAGCCAGTTAGGCTGTGACCAGCTGACACTGGGAAAGGTTGCTCAGAGTTACTTCTTTCCCACTTTAAAGATGTATGGATCTTGGGATTCCTTTTCTTCAGTTTGTTGGAAGATTGTATGGTAGGGGACAACAGGTTGATGAGAGATCTTGCACACTGGCCTTTGCTTCAGGGTAATTGGAGTGTTTCTTCCACCGCAGTTCATTGATTCTAGGTAATACTACCAAATTAGGACTAGAGATGATGAGAGATCTTGCACACTGGCCTTTGCTGCAGGGTAATTGAGAGTGTTTCTTCCACCACAGTTCATTGATTCTGGGTAATACAACCAAATTAGGACTAGAGACCTGTTAAAACCTGTTCTAGCGTTACAGAACCCAGTAATTTGAACATACATAGGTCTAGTTCCTCATCTCTGTCCCTGCTTTCTCCATAAGATAATCACAAGCCTGAAGAAATGAGGAAGGTTCTTGGTTGTGTGGAGAGACTGTCCAGGTGAGCTAAATCCTGGAAATTCTAGTTTCTTGTTCACCTGGAAAGCCCACAAAGAACAGGAACTTCCCTTTAGATTTCATGAGAATTGCAACCATTGCCAGCTGATCATAGATGATGAAAGTTTATCATAACTCAAAGAATTGGTGTCCCTGTAGAAATATTTACAGGCATGTGTTTTGTTTTTAGCAGACACCTATTGTGGATGGTCCTAAACGTGTTCCTGTGATGCAGAACCGGACAAATGGAAATAAAGTCCAACCACAGCGTGTTCTCAGTGCTTCCAGTGTTCCCCAACGAGTACCTATCCAGCAAGCACAGAAATCTACTGGTGCCAATTCAAAGCATCCCCAACAATTAAGTCAGCAGCGACCAGTATCTCTCGTGCAACCAACATCTAAGACTTTGACTGCAAACAAAACCAGTGAAACTTCTCAGCAGCACCTTGCGTCTGGTATGTAGTGCTGTTTAGTTGTTTCTAATTTTATGGCTAATTCTTTTGTTCATGTTCTCTAGGCATAAGACATGAGCCTCACAATTGCATTGAAAAATGCAATGTATTTTAGTGAAACAGTAAATTGCCTGTGTATCTTAAGAGCATAAGTAAATTCTAGTAAGGAAGTATCTGTTTTTTTGTCCATGTTCTATATACTCCTGTAAACTGAGTATTTGTACATTGATAAACTATAAACCATCATTTCTATATGTAGAAAAAAAGCCGGAACCAGAAACTACATCAGATTGCAAGACTGAGAACAAAGAAGCATCACATTCAAAGACAGAGAGCAATGGGCAATCACGTTCAAAAAGTGAAACCAAGAAGTAAGATGTATACTTGATATGTTTCCATTGGTGGAGTACTATAGGTATTCTTTATTACATGTAGTCATTGAGGGTTAGGAGGACTTGATTGAAGAATAAGGCTGAAAATTGCTTGTGTACTGAGGTGTGATCAATGAAGCAATCTTCAGCATTTCGGACAATGAGAGTGATCTGACAAAAGATAGGATCACATAAGATCTATTAGCTATTTGGCTGGAAATTGCTGTCTGAGGGGATGGGAAATGACTACTTTAATGAAAAGACCATATATTAAATATATATATATACTTTCAAAGGAGGAAAATATATGCTTTTAGGGCACACCCAAGCTGGAATGAGGGTCATAATGAAAAAATTAGAACCTTAATGGGCTGGCGTAGAGAGAATTGAGCACTTCTCTTGCTGTCTGTTTCTCACTGATACCAAGGAATGTAGTTCCTCACTCTTTTCAACATGTGCTGGTAACCCAGTGCAGGGAACCTGGAAACTGCACACCTTTTAGCTTAAACCTTCTCCTCGAGAAAACCGCCATAGGGGCCATCACTGAGTGAATGCTCCAGCGATGGCCCAGAGCCCCTCGTTAAGCGATTTAATTGCTCAGCGGGGCGCTTGTTAAGCGAGGCACCACTGTATATTACAAATATATATACTTTCAAAGGAGGAAAAGATCTGCTTTTAGAGCACACCCAAGCTGGAATGAGGGTCATAATGAAAAAAAAATAAAACCTTAATGGGCTGGAGTAGCAAGAATTGAGCACCTACCTCTCTTGCTGTCCGTTTCTCACTGATATCAAGGAATGTAGTTCCTCACTCTTTTCAGCATGTACTGGTGGCCCAGCGCAGGGAACCTGGCAACTACACACCTTTTAGCTTAAACCTTCTCCTCGATAAGCTGGTAGAAAGCATCAGACTAATTGCAGAAAAATGACCCTTGCTGAATAGGAAGCAGTTCTGCTTTTGCAAAGGAATATTCTATTTTACCAACATGGGATAGGGGGGCCCAAACTGTCATCGCTATACGAAGCAAGGTCCCAACCATCACTATGCAAAAATCGCCCATAGGAAACATTGTTAAACGGAGCGCAAGATCGCTCCAGAAAAAGAATCATTAAGCAATTCCATCGTTAAGCGAAGCAATCGCTAAGCGAGGCACCACTGTATTCTGTTTTACCAACATGGGGGTCTGAAAGGGTCTGTAAAAAGCATCTAGAGACGATCTATATTTCCTGAGCTAAAGAGTAGGATATAGAGGTGTATTTGGTGTTCAGAAGATGACTGGACAAAGTCTTCTTTCCCCCCTGAAAATCTAAAATGGATTAATTGGGAATAATCCATATTAGTTGGATGTCATGGAATAGCTAGGAAACAGTCTGAAAGGGTCTGTAAAAAGCATCTAGAGACGATCTATATTTCCTGAGCTAAAGAGTAGGATATAGAGGTGTATTTGGTGTTCAGAAGATGACTGGACAAAGTCTTCTTTCCCCCCTGAAAATCTAAAATGGATTAATTGGGAATAATCCATATTAGTTGGATGTCATGGAATAGCTAGGAAACATTACTTTTAAAAGATGTGGTGCTTATGTGTCACTTGCCTGGTTTTCAGTGGTGGCTGGAAACCACTGGGAGTGTGCTAGCTGACTGGTGAAGGAGAACGTTAATCCGTCCCTCTTCCTCCACCCTGATTGGTTTCTGTGCTAGGGACAGGGAAAGTAAAGCCTCTTTCTCTTGCATCAGCATGAAAATGCAGCAAGTTGGTAAAGGAGACAGAGCATTTTCTTTTGCTGCACTTCTAGTCTACTAGCCGTTAACCCTTTTGTGAATAAGAACCAGATCAGTAATTTTTCCTACTTTGGTGGCAAAGCTAATTTATATGTAGCATTAAAAGGTGTGTGTTTTAAGTAAGGACCCATCTAACTGTTACTGACAGCAGCTAAATAGAACGACCATTATCAAAGGCAGCGTTTAGAAAAGTTACTTTTTGTTATATAGTTTTCAGAATCCTCCAGTCAATGCGACCATTAGCCCCAAAGGCTAAAGAATGTGGGTATTTAATACTCCATAGGTTCAGATCAGAGGCTGTTCATCAGAACACCATATAGTATGGGATAAATGAAGGAAATCTATTGCCCTCATGTCTTGCTTGCAGGCCTCTTGGATATACAGTATCTGAGTAGCATCCGTTTGAAACAGTACAGTAGGCTGGTAAGATGCAAGCTTGATCTTATGTTGTGATGTGATCACTTGCAGTGCAAATGGTGGTAATCTTGATAAGGAAGGATGTAGCAGTAATATTGAAGTAAGGACCCATCTAACAACTGTTACCGATGGCAGCTAAATAGAACCACCATTATCGCAGGCAGAGTTTAGAAAAGTTATTTTTTGGGTTATAGTTCTCAGAATCCCCCAGTCAATACGACCATTGGCCCTAAAGGCTAAAGAATGTGGGTATTTAATACTCCATAGGTTCAGATCAGAGGCTGTTCATCAGAACACCATATAGTATGGTATAAATGAAGTTTATTGCCCTCATGTCTTGCTTGTAGGCCTCTTGGATATATCTGAATAGCATCCATTTGAAACAGTAGATGCAAGCTTGATCTTGTGATGTGATCACTTGCAGTGCAAATGGTGGCAATCTACTTATTATTTTTAAGCACTAGGAAGGAAATGTGTGCCCCTTTGTGATTCCAGTAAAATGATTATTTGGGGGGGCTCAAGGTGTCCTCACTCTTTTAGACACCTAGTCTTACTACAGCTTTTTCTTTCCCTTTTTTTCAAAGAAAACAATGGTCCCTTGACGACTTTGAAATTGGACGCCCACTGGGGAAAGGTAAATTTGGGAATGTGTATCTGGCTCGTGAAAAGGAAAGCAAATTCATCCTGGCACTGAAAGTTTTATTTAAGACACAGTTGGAAAAAGCAGGCGTAGAGCATCAGCTGCGGCGGGAGGTAGAAATCCAGTCTCATCTTCGGTAAGATTGATTTTGTATGCCTGTTTTGAATATACTTGAAGACTGCTGCCTGATTTTTTTAAAGCAAAGTTTTGTGGAGTATGGCTAACTGTCGTTTGGAATGGAGCTAGGCTACAGCCTTTGCTTATGGCTACCACAGCCTCTCAGTTCTAACCCTTTGTAGAAGGAGGCATGCCAAGTTTATTGTGTTCTAAGCATGGAAGGCTTCTACCAGTTAAAATTTACTAGTTGCCTCTCAGCACATTGATTAAAGTATATAGGATGGAAGAAACATATAGTCTGCAGGGGCATCCTCGAGCTATGCAGTCAAACCTCAGATTCCAATTTAGTAAGGTCAACCATTAAAAAGTCATTAATGGATGGTATTGATTGGTTATAGAGCTTGAAGAGTGCTTTTCAGTATTGAAATGTACCTGCAAAATGTCTTGGAAATGTAAAAAACAAACAACACGATGTCTCAGAGGGATAGACTTAAGTGTTCCACAGAGTGATATTTGATTGCTATAAAGATAGCTTTTTAAGGGAGTTAAGATGAAATCAGCCAGTGTTTTCAATTAAAAACATGAGTTGCTGGGTAGACTTTTATCCCATAACTGCTACTTGAATTATAGATTCCCATTATCAAATCTGAATTCTCGTATAGAACAGGGCTCAGGCTTTGCAAGCTACATATTTTGTCCCCAAATTAAAGTTATATATTTTGTTTGTTTCCTGCCCATCTAGCAGCAAGTCACTACTCTTGGAGGCTAACAAATAAATACATAAGCCACCCACCAGCAAAAAAACAAAAAGCTACCCACATTTTCCAAAAAAAGGACAAGAATGAAGGAAGAAATCCGCAATGGCAAGCTAAGACAGACAAAAACATGTCTCCTCTGACTCTGTTTCTCCTCTTTCTGTTGTTAGAGTGGGGATTAGTCCCTGCTTGATATTTCACAAGTCTACACCAGGTGCTCTCAGGCTGCACCCGCTCTTTTTGAAGAAGTTGAGGTGACCGGAAGATATGCTTTTTGAAAAAATACTGTTTAGGGCCATAAGAGGGCACCTGAGATCACCTGGTGTATGATAGTGAAAGATGGGACAGGGACTAACCTCCCTCTTTATAATACTAAAGAGGAGAAATACAGTGAGCAGAAACACATCTTCAAGTTTGGGAAGAAAATATTTAGCTTGTATAGAGACCCTTTTACATGTGAGAATCCAGATCTGGTTCTGATGCAAAGGGCTGAAGGGTCCAAATGACATTCCACAAGAGAATGGGGAGGTGCAGTTCTCACTTCTCAGTAATCACGTTTCTCCAGGGCTGCTTCTTGGTGGCACAGTTCCTATTCCTCTGGTAAAAGATCAGTTGCCATTGGGATAAAATGGTTTTTTTTATTCTAATAAGTATGAGAAGAGAGGCTCGTTGTCACCTGGTTACAGAAGTGTTGCAGTTGCCATGGTAATTGTTCCATTCAAAGAGGAAGGCAATCATCTGTAAAGATTCTATAGAGATTACACAGTACTGCAAGGATTAGGTGTAAAACAAGCTTTTATGTGAATATCTAAAATGTTGGAATCAGTGCTCACTCCTCCACTCAGGATAGCGCTGAGTAGAGGAATGAGGGAAAAAGAAAGACATGGGAAGCTTCGTATATGTTATATGTCAAGTTACCTTTAAATAAAACATTATATACATATATATGCCTATGCCTGGTTGCAAAACTCTTAATTGTTTGTGCATGATGTTCTAAAGAACTGTCAGTCTCAAATTGCATTTTACTTTTCTGGGATAAAGTATACAGTTTTTCGCAGCTCCTTTTGATAGAAGTCATTGATGCAATGGAGAAGACAAATGAATTGGAAGTGAAGCTAACTTAGTGATAACAGAAAAATTAGTAATAATAGGTTTTCTTAGTAAATGGAATGAAAGATCTATAGGGAATGGTGTTGCCTTTTTAATAATGTTTTTTTCACAGAATATGTTTATACTTTATTTTACAGGCATCCCAATATTCTTCGGTTGTATGGCTACTTTCATGATGCAACTAGAGTCTATCTAATACTAGAGCATGCACCTCGTGGAGAAGTATACAAAGAGCTCCAGAAGCTTACTAAATTTGATGAGCAGCGAACTGCTACTGTATGTTCTCGTGTGAATATTCTTTGTGACTTTAACCCTAGTTGATGTTAAAGCTACATATCATGCTTTGAACTCTTCCTTTGTAGAGAAGGGTCTCGTAGAGTGATTATTCTTTCCAGTGGCCTGAAGCAGGGAAGATCTGCACATGTTTATTGAGTTTAAAATAAAGAAGTTTCAATTTAAAAGGTACAGAAAACAATGTAGGTCCTCCTCCACTTTCCTTGGCAGCATAGCTTGCTCAGGAAGCTGATAAAATTCATACCTTTTCGGTTTGAAGAAGCTACCCAAAAAGAGCAGGAGAAATTGTGTTTTGCATAACTTTTCTTGGAGATTAAAAGAAAGGTTCCTAGAATTAATGGAGAGAGATTTGTTCTAGGGGGATGCACCCTTTTGAAGAGAAGTGAGCTTGTGTGATAAGGGCAACACTGGTGTTGCAGTGAAATTTCCAAGTGAATAAATGCAGTTAAAGAAAGGGCGTGGTGGCACTGCTGGTTAAACTGCAGAAGCCTCTGTGCTGCAAGGTCAGAAGACCAGCCGTCGTAAGATGGAATCCATGCAATGGAGTGAGCCCCGTTGCTTGTCCCAACTCCTGCCAACCTAGCCGTTCGAAAGCATGTAAATGCAAGTAGATAAATAGGTACCACCTCGGTGGGAAGGTAACTGCGTTCTGTGTCTAGCCACGGTGGCCACATGACCACGGAAACTGTCTTCAGACAAACGCTGGCTCTACAGCTTGGAAACGGGGATGAGCACCACATCCTAGAGTCGGACATGACTGGACTAAATGTCGAGGGGAATCTTTACCTAAATGCAGTGGCTGAGTTGGAGGAAGGTATGCCTCCATTCTTTAGACCAGTGGTGTCAAACTGTGGCCCTCCAGATGTTCTTGGCCTTCAACTCCCAGAAATCCTGGCCAGCAGAGGTGGTGGTGAAGGCTTTTGGGAGTTGAAGTCCAAGAACATCTGGAGGGCCACAGTTCGACACCACTGGTCTAGAGCCTTCAGAGCTTTAGGAGTCACTGTATTTGAGAAAATATAACCATGCAGACTTGCGAAGCTCTGTTTTGGCAAGTCTGTGGAGCCTTGAAGGCTGCCTTGAAATGCAAACTAAGGGGAAGGGGATGAAAACTGGCCAGACAAAGTTCCAAAGGAGATCTTTTCTCTGATTGTCTGTGCTGTTGTTTAGCTGGGAGAAGTGCAGTGATTTTATGACACTACAAAAGGGTTTTGTACTTTGGAAATACAGTGGCACCTCGCTAGACGATAATAATCCGTTCCACTGAAATCGCTGTTTAGCGAAATCATTGTCTAGCGAAAAGCATTTCTCCATTGGAATGCATTGAAACCTGTTTAAAGGAAGCCACCTAGAGTGGCCTTTTAGGCCAGATGGGCGGGGTATAAATCAAATAAATAAATAAAAATAAATTTAATACGTTCCATTGGGGAAGAATTGTCGTCTAGCAAAGATCGGCCATAGGAAAGCCGCTTTGCAAACCGCCGATCAGCTGTTTAAATCGCTGTCTTGCGAAGCTTAGGTCCCGAAAACACCCATTTTGCGAGTACAGAGGGAGCTGTCAAAATATTGTCTAGCGAAAATTGGTTTGTGAAGCAGGGACCAAACACTGTCCAGCGAAATTCCCCCATAGGAATCGCTGTTTTGTGAACAGCTGTAGCGATCACAAAAAGTCAATGTCTAGCTAAAAAACTGTCATGCGGGGTAACTGTCTAGCAAGGCACCACTGTACTTTTTTAGCTGAATTATATAGCAGGTGAATAACACACTGACAAATGTGTCATTTGGCCTTTCAGGTATTTCTTGCCATAGTCTAGCATGTTAATCTAATGCACAACCATTGCCTATGATTGCTTAAATATTATTCTCTGGAGCTATAAGGCTTTACAGCAGCTTTGTTTCTTTCACAGTATATGACTGAGTTGGCAGATGCTCTGTCATACTGCCATTCAAAAAGAGTAATTCATAGAGATATAAAGCCTGAAAACTTGCTGCTGGGATCAAATGGGGAGCTGAAGATTGCCGATTTTGGATGGTCTGTGCATGCCCCATCCTCTAGGTATGTATGTGTTTCATGTTTAGGCTTGTGAGAATGAGTGACAATCACATTTCTGCAGGAATTGATCAGATGTTTCTCTAGGCAACTTGTTACATAAAAAGAGCTTTAGCATTAATGATCTGTTCTAACAATTAAGTGGAGTGAGCATTGTAGATTGTAAGGGGAGCTGCAACAAAATATTGCATTAGCGGAAATCTTGTTTCTTAATGTGTATATATAGTAAGACACTTTGAATCATTGGAGATTTAGCGAGTCAATTCTTCTGTAAATTCTGTTGTTTCAAATGGGCCCACTCTGGTTGTGACTTGCTATGTTAAAAGCAATTCCAAGTGTGAAGAAATTTGCAAAGCTTGGTAAATTACCATTGTAGTAGAGGAGGACATTTTAAACAGACTGGTTGTCCTTCCTACTTTCTCACACTGTGCAACCAACAACCACACATAGCATTCTTAAGTTTTTCATCCTATGAAAAGGGTACTAGACTGGTAATTTTCCACCGGGAGAGGGGAACATATCAGGATTTCTTCTTTCTTTCTTCTTCTTCTTTCTTCTTCACCGGGAGAGGGGAACATATCAGGATTTCAATTTTTAATTTTTTAATTTTAATTTTTTTTATTTGGGAAATGAGGGCAGGGGGGACAGATCATGCATTGCATTCCCGGTATGCTGCTGCTTTACCTATGCTGTAAAGTAACTCACCTAGTCATGTATCATATGTCTTTTTGTGTCTCTTGTGTTATGCTGTAATGTGATCTTGTCATGTCTGGATTGTGCGCACCCCTTAAGTTCTCCCTGCAGTGAAAAGAAAAGTGGACTGTTTTTTTCCAGTGGTGGTTCTAGGTTAAGCACAAGAATGGCAACTTCTACCCACCTCTTCCATTACAAGTTGTAGTACTTTCTAATTTGAAATGGCTTCTGTGGGAGGCAGCCTTGAAGGGAGAGCATGTGTGATTTGGTTCATCTTCTGCCGAGGGCGGCCCCTGAGTTTGCGTGGGAAGGAGAGTCGGAGGCTGTTCAGAATTTTATTGCTCAACAGGTTCAACTTTGGGAGGCAGCCTTGAAGGGAGAGCATGTGTGATTTGGTTCATCTTCTGCCGAGGGCGGCCCCTGAGTTTGCACGGGAAGGAGGGTCGGAAGCTGTTCAGAATGTCTAACATAATTCTTTTTATTGCTCAACAAGTTCAACTCAACAGATTCAAAAGGATCCATTAAACTCAATTCTGGCAAAATGTGGCAACTTCGCACCTTAACATCTGGTGTCTTAATGTCACTTCTTACTGAGGGGCCGGTCCAAACTGCTCCCGATCGGTCATGGGCCTCAGGGGGGTGTTCCTCACGGCACAGACTGTCCTATAGCATGGGTGTCTCACCCAGTCCCCCTCGCGTTGTGGTTGGAGTAAAGAGGGACTGGGATGGATCACCCTCCTCCCCCCCACGCTGATTGCGAGGGTACACCACTACCGTCCATTCCAGTGGTTCTGAGTCTTCTCCCTACATGCGGGGATCTCGGGTCCAGCAACAAACCTCCCCCAATCTGGGTTTAGAAAGTCCTTCATTAATTTTGCATAGCTCTCCTGCCCAAAACCTAGCTCTGTCGGCACTGCTTGATCCTTTCTTTCCGGTTGTTCTCCGCCCGTTAAAATTCTAAAACTTTGTGCGCCTTTTTCCTCTTTTATATTCTCCTCCCAGACAATTAGGTCTAGCTCCTCCCCCTTCTCATCAGCCACTCTGTTGGCACCGCTTGATCCTTTCTTTCCAGTTGTTCTTCGCCCGTTAAAATTCTAAAACTTTGTGCGCCTTTTTCCTCTTTTAGATCCTCCTCCCAGACAATTAGGTCTAGCGCCTCCCCCTTCTCATCAGCCAGACACACTTCTAACGACCCTTTCCATTCCTCTCTCTCCTGATCTGTCTCTACCAATATGCCCTCCACACAGCTGCGGTTTTCCTCAGAGATCTGTTCTGCGGAGGACGGCCCACTGGTTTTCTTTCCTTCACAGCATGCCATTTTTGTATTTATATTTATGGAAAAGGTATAGATTAGAAAAGGTTAAGGAGCAGAAATTAATAGTTTTTGCTTCCACTTTGGGTCTTCCCCTTTATGTGTCTCAGTAGGCTAAACTCGCAAACTGTATAAGAACAGGCTTGAGCGTCACTCTCATTGGGTGGGCAGAATTTAGGAGGCAATGCAGGACAATAAAAGGTACAGATTAGAAAAGGTTAAGGAGCAGAAATTACTAGTTTTTGCTTCCACTTTGGGTCTTCTCCTTTATGTGTCTTAGTAGGCTAAATTTGCAAACTGTATAAGAACAGGCTTGAGTGTCACTCTTATTGGGTGGGCAGAATTCAGGAGGCAATGCAGGAGAATGGAACAAAAAGGCCCATCCAGTTTGCCATAAGATTAGAAAAGGTTAAGGAGCAGAAATTACTAGTTTTTGCTTCCACTTTGGGTCTTCTCCTTTATGTGTCTTAGTAGGCTAAATTTGCAAACTGTATAAGAACAGGCTTGAGTGTCACTCTTATTGGGTGGGCAGAATTCAGGAGGCAATGCAGGAGAATGGAACAAAAAGGCCCATCCAGTTTGCCATAAAAGAATCGGACACGACTAAACGAACGAACGCAGGACAATGGAACAAAAGGGCCCATCCAAATTGCCATAAACAATTTATTTATTTATTTGATTTATACCCTGCCTATCTGGTCTACTCGAGTGTTGTAATCTACTCTAAGCTATAAATCAGTAAGCAGATTGTTCAAGAAGCAGGTGAAGAAATATCTGAGTAAATAATTGTTCAAACAATAGCTAAAGTTAGCTTTTTTTAATGATTTAATTGCTTCGGTTTAAGCCAACCCATGTTAACCTAAGGTGACAGAAAGTTTAGCAACGCAACAGTTTTTAAGGCTTATATATACATTCTAGGAGATCAACTCTTTGCGGAACTCTGGACTATCTGCCACCTGAAATGATTGAAGGGAGAACACATGATGAAAAGGTAGATCTGTGGAGTCTCGGTGTCCTGTGTTATGAATTCCTAGTTGGGAAACCTCCTTTTGAGGCCGAAACATACCAAGAAACCTACAGAGCCATTTCAAAGGTAAGCTTTAATTAGAATATGATTTGCTATCTCCTTTGTTTCATTTTGAATAATTATTTCATTGGATAGAAATTTCCAGCTGGCTGTTACAGAATTCCCACCATCTAGGTTTTTGAGATTTGGTATTGCTGTCGTCTTGGGCAGCTATGGACAAGCTGCACAGTCCTACAGCGCTCACCTGAAGAAGGGAAAGATAAATCACTTCCTGTGGGGGTGCCATTCCCAAGGTTGCTAAGCCACATGGGTGTTGTAGTGTAGAGAAAACTCTTCTAGCATCCTGTGGCTGCTTCTGAAGGGAGGAGCTGCCATCATTCTTCCTCTTTCTCATCAGAGAGCTTGCCATAGAGGCTTTTCCTTAGGCCAATCAGAGGGCTTGATTAATTGCTTTTCCCCAGACCAATCCTAATAACATGATGTAACCATTGTCCTATCTGAACCCTCTCTATTATCTCTAATGCTGTCACTATCTATGACCTTGTAATGTTAATAAAAGAGCAGTCTCCTGGTGACAGGGAGCCAGAAGAGAGCCAGGAGAATACTTCTCATTCTGCTTCCTTGATTAGTCACCCACTAGGAGTAATGCTGGCAGACATCCCTCTGTGTGTGGCTGACTTCCTTTATTGCTAAGAGACTCTTTGTTATCCTATTATCTGGTGATAACCACAAAGCCCATCAGCCTGCTCATTGCCTGAACCCAACAACAACCCATACAGAGTGCTCTGTACAGTGGTGCCTCGCTTGACTAATTCGTTCCAGCAAAATCGCTGTAGAGCGAAATCGTCGTCAAACGAAATTTAAAAACCCCATTGAAATGCATTAAAAACTGGTTAATGCATTCCAATGGGCGAAATACCTAATTGTCCAGCGAAGATCCTCCATAGGGCAGCCATTTTCTGGTGCCTGTAGAGTGAAAAATCAGTCCTAAAAACAGAGGGGGGCCATTTTGCACAGCGGTGGCCATTTTGAAACCTGACGATCAGCTGTTGGAAAATCGTAAAGCGAAAAATCGGTTCCTGAAGCAGGGAACCGATCGTCGCTAAGCGAAAAAACCCCATTCAAACATCGTTTTGAGATCTTTGTGAAGCAGATCCGTCGTTATACGGGGAAATCGTTAAGCGGGGCACCACTGTATTTAGAAACCCCTTGAAAAGGGTCACTGTGCATTGGAAGAGATCTGTAAATATTACCATCCTTGCCTTAAGTTTGCTTAAATATATTCAGCATAGATTTCTGGGGTTGAATCCTTTAATTTCTGGGATTGAATCCTGTTGTGATTAGAATTCTACCTCAGAAATGTGTGACAGTAACAGTGAGCAATTTTTGTTCCCTCCTAGTTCACAGTAGCAAGATGTGGAAGCGGTCTTCTGTTAATATCTGCCCCATTTTGTCTACCTCCTACCATTGGAGGGAAAAAACGAACAGATGGCATTGTACAAACAAGAGCAGAATTTTCCTGAATTAGCCCAAAAGAGAGAGGAAGAGTTGCATAACAGCTGAATCAAAAAATCCTTAAAGAAATAAGATTTAAAACTATTGTAACTAAGATTACAAATGTGTATGAAGGTTTGGTGGGAAAATATCTTACAGTTCAGACACAATGGACTTAAATTTTGTGAAGTGACTGTGGCATCTAATTTCTTTCCATTTAAAGGTAGAGTACAAGTTTCCTCCCTTCATAACTGAAGGGGCTCGGGATTTGATTTCGAAGCTTCTGAAGCACAATCCATACCACCGGTTACCACTGGAAGAGGTTCTTAAACATCCCTGGGTTACAGCAAACTCAACAAAATCTCCCAGTCAGAGAATTTCTGAAGCTGCTGCTACTACCTCTACCAAAATGCAGTCATAGCAGGGTGAACATTGCAGCAGCAAAGTAACTGTGACGGCAAATATTGTAATGCAGTGAACAACAAAATAACTGATGGCAAGTATTGTAATGCAGTGAACGTTACTGCATAGACTTGGACTCAAAAGGCAGAGAATCTTGTGTTATGCCTGACCTTTATGGAATCTGAGCTGCAATGCAAAAGCACTTCCATATTGGTGGTTTCAGTTCATGAATATTTGACATACTTGAAGTCCTCTTGCACATGGTCCGAACAACTCGAGTTATAGTTGTAAACCTTCTCAACTATATGGCTGTTCATCCTGCATTGGTCCATACTGCTTAATAGCAAAGGATATCAGTAATCAACCAGTGCAATAATATTCGTTGACAGTGTGCCCCTTTAGGCAATTAAACATGTGTGCAATGATATGAAATAGATGAGACCTGCCTCTGTAAATGTATGTTAAGTGTGCAGTTTTCTAAGTGTTGTCCTGTCTTTAGTTATGAAATAAAGATTTTAAGCAATATCACTGTCTTGAAAAACCCTCTGATCAAACCTCTAATTCAGTGGTCATTCTAAATGAGAGCCAAGTCTAATTTGAAACTGTCTACAAACACTGGCTCTACGGCTTGGAGATGGGGATGAGCACCGCCCCCTAGTTGGACACGACTGGACTAACAAGAGCTTGGGCTAAATCCCAGTGTTAGTCCCATACAGACCCACTGAATGAATGGGATTTACTACAACAAACCCAGGATTCGATGGTTCCATTCTAGGTAAAGGTACCCCTTGACATTTATTTATTATTTATTTATTTATTTATTGGACTTATATACCACGTGGTATATAAGTCCAATAAATAAATAAATAAATAATAAATAAATGTCAAGGGGTACCTTTACCTAGAATGGAACCATCGAATCCTGGGTTTGTTGTAGTAAATCCCATTCATTCAGTGGTTTGTTGTAGTAAATCCCATTCATTCAGTGGGTCTGTATGGGACTAACACTGGGATTTAGCCCATGTTTGGTGTGCAACATGTTCTTTAAAATTGTTTCTGGTGGTAGTGTTTTGTAACTTGTAAGTAAATTGTTTTCTAGTCTGTAGTAAGAGTGTCTTTCTGCCAGAGCTCATAACACCCTCAAAGCCAGAAACCTGAAACTTAGCATAGATATGACAGGGACATGAGTACGTGCAAATCCTGATCAGTTTAATTTTTAGTACCCAGCTACAAATACTAAGGATGAATTTCTTAGGATGAAGCAACATAAGCTGAAGTGGTTTGAAACAGAGGTAACTGTTTACTGCAAGTATACCTGATGATCCATGTTATCAGGCAAAACCTGTAGACACTCATTTTCCCCATTGCTTTGCAAGAAACTAGCTTCCTACTTTTCAGTTTGTAGCCAGTGAATGAAATCACGGCTATGATCTCACATTTGGCGCTTTGGTTTCTGTTTGACATGCATAAGCTGAAGTGGTTTGAAACAGAGGTAACTGTTTACTGCAAGTATACCTGATGATCCATGTTATCAGGCAAAACCTGTAGACACTCATTTTCCCCATTGCTTTGCAAGAAACTAGCTTCCTACTTTTCAGTTTGTAGCCAGTGAATGAAATCACGGCTATGATCTCACATTTGGCGCTTTGGTTTCTGTTTGACATGCACTGGTGTGCTTTCAGTTTGTAGCCAGTGAATGAAATCACAGCTATGATCTCGCATTCGGTTTCTGGTGTGCGGCTGCATTAAAAAGCAATGCTGCTAAAGGGTTGACAGCTGTCACCTGTGAAAGACAGAACAGTTTAAGAGTGTGTTATGGGGAAGATGTGTGCGTTGGGCATGCTTGTCTAGGTCTGGAACTATGTTTAAGTTCTAAACTGGGGTCTTGCAGCCAGGATCATATGTTGTGCAAAAAATAATTGTGTAACTATGTGCAGTTGTTCCAGCTGTCTTGTCCTGTCTTTAGACACGCCTGGGTTCTGCACTCACAGAATCCACCATCAAGATGGCCAGAAAACTGCTTGTGTGGTTCTTAAGCACTTGCGGTTCTGGTCTGAGGAACAGCGTTTGTATCGAGCTCTGCTCCCTTTTAAACCTTTATTTTTAATACTTACAAAGTATTCAACTGCTCAAGTTGTGCTCTCCAGGACACATCCAAATCTTGTCTCTGAAGTCTTGAGCGCGCTCTCTCTCTTCCTGGCTGGGAGTTTAAGGTGCTTATTTCCAACCTTGAAGCTGCTGCTAAGTTAACAAGACACAGTTATCTCTGGCTTAGTTGCTCCCACTCTTCTGTTCAAGATTAATTGCAGCAAGGAGTTTTTGCTACACTTGTAGCTCTGAGTTGGATTTTTTTTGGTAGCTAGTTGTTGAAAAGAGAAGACTGAACTGGATGGGCGATGCAGATCCAGCCCTGAGCGGGCGGTGAAACAACTGAAGATCGATGAGCTTGTAACAGCCAACTACCCTGTGAGTAACTTTGCTACACTGCCTATAGCTTCCAGCATTATCACTAACAACAGATTTGCTTAATTGAGAAATGAAACCCTCTCGTCCCCACCGGGCACTTGTGACTTAACTGCAATTTCTACCCCTTGCACACCCCCCCAAAAAAGTACAGTTCCCCTCTGAAAGAAACCATCCCAGCTTTCTAGCTGAACAATGTCTCTTAACAGCTCAAACAGTAATAGCCATCTTTGAAAACTTACAATGGGTCTGCAATCAAATGAACTCAGTTGAAAATGCCTTTGGGAAACTTGCTGAGACCCTTCAGTCAAAGGATAATACATAAACCAGGGGGCTCAAAGAAACGGCGGTTGGTAGATTTAGCAGTAAAGGCAGCATACAATAACCAGCTCACAACAATTGGCTCCCCAATTGAAAAGGGAGAGAAACTCCCCGAAGATCTTTCAGAGCACTCATATTACATTTGCTAAACTCCATGCTTTCTCATTTTTTATTTTTATTTTTTGCTAAACCCAGCACACCCTCGCCTTTTGATAAGGCACGGAGTTTAGCAAAAAGGAAGGGGAGCAACGGCTCCCCTTCCTATTTGCTAAAGCCCTGTGCCTTCGCAAAAGGCAATGGTAAAGAGCTGCCTTCCCTGTATAAAATGACCCTCATTTTTCTGAAATTATTTAAGAAAAGTGTTTTATACATGGAAAAATACAGTACCTACCATTGCCAAATCTGGCCTGATCCTTAGCTTCACCAAATAGAAGAGAATATTGTTAAACACCTTGCAATGCTGTTTTCTCCTCCCTGACTCTAGGGAGGTAGCAACAAGAACTCTAACTATCCTTCATTTATTAACCATTATGTAGAGCTGTCAACAATATAAAGTTACAGTAATATTCTGTTCACACATGCCTGTCCAGGCACAACCTTGAATGTTCAAAGGGTCAACTAGTATAGTCTGCAGACTCCAACACGCGTTTTAAACACTGAAGACTGTTAATGATTTTTATATTTAGTGGCTGCACTTTCCCTTAAAACAGTTTATGTATTTTTGTACAAGGGTCAAATGCTTCCACCAGGCACCCTTTTCACTGGCCAACAGTTAACTGAAAGTTCAAATTTTGCACTTTCCCTGCCTCCTACGTGGGTTTTTTTCAGTTCTTAACTCAAATCTAAGTATGTAAGTCAAGTCAATATTTTCCTATGAGAGTGGTTCTTAAGTCAAAATGTTCTTAACTCAAGCCGTTCTTAAGTCAAGACCCCACTGTATTTAGTGGCTGCACTTTCCCGTAAAACAGTTTATGTATTTTTGTACAAGGGTCAAACCTTTTGCTTCCACCTTACTTGTAAATTTATATGTGAAGAACGCCAACAACTTCTTCAGATTTAGTCCATGCACTCGGCAAGGGATCAAACTCTAGCAGGAAAAGCATATGTGGTGCATCCAGAAGATGGCAGCTTCAAACTCTGACACCTCCAGTTGAAAGGAGCAGATAGAAAGTGACAGGACGCTCTCCTAGTGAGACTCTGGAAAGTCAAGGCCCTTTAGGTGGTGGGGTGGAGATGGGAATTCGGTCATGTTTTGAGGGGCTCCCATACCCCAAGTACTGTAGAACTTTTTAAAAAAAATAAATTACAATTCCTATAATCCTCTAGATCAGGAGTCCCCATCCTTTTTCACCCCACAGACCAGCTGGGAATGCGGGACATCACAACCTTTTTCACCCCACAGACCAGCTGGGAAGGCGGGACATCTCCCACACTCATGCGCATGCGCAAATGGTGGCATGGCCCTGCATACTTGTGCGCATATGGTGGTGCTCGCACGGGTGCAACATCTCCCACACTCATGCGCATGCGCAAATGGTGGCATCGCCCCGCACACTTGTGCGCATATGGTGGTGCTCGCACGCGCTAATCAGCTGTGCAGGGGTGAGTGTGTGCGCGGGGGGGGGCGGGAAGTCTGTCTCCGCGGCCCGGTCCGGCTCAGGCCATGGACAGGCACCAGGCCGAGACCTAGGGTTTGGGGACCTCTGCTCTGGATCACTCATGCGCATGCGCAAATGGTGGCATCGCCCCGCACACTTGTGCGCATATGGTGGTGCTCGCACGCGCTAATCAGCTGTGCAGGGGTGAGTGTGTGCGCGGGGGGGGGCGGGAAGTCTGTCTCCGCGGCCCGGTCCGGCTCAGGCCATGGACAGGCACCAGGCCGAGACCTAGGGTTTGGGGACCTCTGCTCTGGATCCATGGTTCCCAACCTTACATAGCCCAGGTGTTCTTGGACTGCAACTCCCAGAACCTCAGCCAGCACGGCTGGTGGTGAAGGCTTCTGGCAGTTGCAGTGCAAGAACACCAGGGTTGCACAAGGCTGGGAACCACTGCATTAGATTGAATACACTGTGAATTAGAATGCAAAATATAAAATTGCCAAGCTCTGCACCAGTCAACTGGTATGGTATAAGGTGGCTCTATAAGTCTTTCTTGGTTAAGAAATGCTTAATGAACTGTACAAAGACCTTAAGGAAGAAACATAAGTATATCAGTATCTTTAAAACAGTTCTTTATAGCAAGGAACCAACAACACAAGGGGTGTTAGTGCGATCTGCACATGGGCACCACCAGGGTGCAGCAATTTCAGATATTTTATATATATATATATTAAGAAGTGAGGCGATATTCTTTTTTCCTCTTTCTCTCTGGAGACTTTAATCAGGGGTTCGGAGATGGAGGTTTGAAGAAACCTATCTTCCGGAAATAGCGAACAAGTAATGGCACGGAGATTAAGGTGATGCTGATTCTGACTGGAGCAAACAGTTTGTGGATGGCATAGGCCAATAAAAAAGTGCTTGTTCCGGCAGCTAGTTTGGATTGCACCACAGCTTCATCAAATCCCAGCTTGAAGAGAATGGCAGTCATGTCCACACCACTAAAAGGAGAGAGGGGAAAAACACACATGACTTGATTTAGCAGCTTTAAGGAGAGTGCTTCTGGATTTTCTAATAGTGTTTAGATTTTAATCCTTATAACTGAGACCTTTAGGAAAATATTATTTTTCCTGCTGCTCGCGCTTCTAGGAGAGGTGTCCATGGATGGATGTCTGTAAGAGAAGACTAAGACACTTGCACAGTGAAGTGCAGGTGGTCGTCCTCAATGCTCCCACAGCCAACTCCCTGCAGGGACAGTCCAAAATAAAGACAGTTGGATTGGACTACACCAACTTCGAGAGCATGTCTTTTTTAAAAAAAAGTTCAAGAGGAAACAAAGTTCTTTGCAACAGCTAACAACAACGTACAGTCGTGCCCCGCTTAACTATTGCCCTGCATTACGACGAATCTGCTTTACGATGATGTTTTAAATGGGGGAATTTCCCTTAGCAATGATCGGTTCCCTGCTTTGGGAACCAATTTTCACTTTACCGACGATCAAAAACAGGTGATCGTCGGGTTTTCAAAATGGCCTCTGGGTGCTTAAAATGGCTCCCCGCTGTGCTTAGGGATGGATTCCTCGCTATACAGGCACCGAAAATGGCCACTGTATGGAGGATCTTCGCTGGACGGTGAGTTTTTAACCCACTAGGAACGCACTGAACCGTTTTCAATGCGTTTCAATGGATTTTTAAATTTCGCTTTACAACGTTTTCGCTTAACAGCGATTTTCCTAGAACAGATTATCATCGTTAAGCGAGGCACCACTGTATTAAAATTTCTCACCCAACTATGTTGAGGATAGTTCAGTTCAGAGGAAAGATAACGGAATGACAGTAAATCTGGGGGCTTCAACTCTACATCAGTGGTGCCCAACCTTGGGTCCCCAGATGTTTTTGGATGACAGCTCTTAAAAATCCTGGTCAGCACAGCTAGTGGTGAAGGCTTCTGGGAGTTGGGAAACATTGCTCTACACCATAGTACTTCCACTCCCATCTGTTTTACTAAACACAATACTATATACAGACATGAGGTTTCTAGAATTTGTGGACTGCCATGTGTAGGGTTGTGAAGGAATTATCTCAACCAGACTTCTTGGAGCTTTAAACAAGAAATCAAAGCCCTGAAAGGACTTTTCAAGTTCTTGGCCTAAAGAATTCTGATTCTGGCAGCAATTTTCATTCTGAGGAAAATTGATGAAGGGTAAGGGGCAGAGTTAATGTCTCTGCAAGCTGCAAGGATTATGGGTGTGGTAGTCTGTCCATTAAGAAGCCTCTGTGGGAAAAAAACCCTACCAGAACCATAATCCTTATAGCTCCCACTCTGGATAAGTAACACTAATAGAGTCACATCTCCACATACATTAGCAAACTCTGGATGCACTTGTTCCTCATTCTGGTAACATACAATCATGTGAAAAAGCACAGCCTCTCTGAAGATTGTATTTACCTAATTTTCAGACCTGCGAAGGACCAGATGATTTTTATTACGTCCTGATACCCAAAACCCTAGAATTCAAAGAGGATGCACTTTCTTTTTCACATGACTACATTCCAAAGTACAGTGGTACCTCGCAAGATGAATTCAATTCGTTCCGCGGTTAATGTTGTCTTGCGAAAAATTCATCTTACGAAACGCGGTTTCCCATAAGAATGCATTGAAATCTAATTAATGCGTTCCTATGGGCAAAAAAAAATTCAGAACAAAGTCAAATTTGGTTTACAAAGGGTTTATTAAGTGCTCTTTGAAGCCATACATATTGTGCAGATGATTTTTTAAAAATTCAGTCAAAAAACCTTAACTATTTAAACATCATAGAAAAACATTTAAAAATCAGCAAACATGAGGCAGGAACAAAAAGCGGAAAACATTCGTCTTGCGAAGGACAGCCATAGGAACATTTGTCTTGTGAGTCATCAACCCCATTTGTCTTGTGAGTTTTTTGTCCTGCGAGGCATTTGTCTTGCCAGGCACCACTGTATTAGGGAAAGCATATAACAGACCGGCCTCAAAGACAAGGAACTCTCTACAAGTAGGCCCATGAGGAGTGAAGAAATTATCTGCCTTTCCTTTTTCCCATAATGAGGAAGTGAAGGGAAAGCAAAGCATACGCATCGGGTGCTCCAAGAACTGGCCGATTCTCAACTGCAAGATGCAGGCGGATCTCCAAGTGCTGCATGCATATGCTTTCCGTTCTTCCCGTGGAGAAAGGAGAGCAAAGTAGACAGGCAACTTTTTCAAGAGTCAGGACTGTGTTGTCCAGCAGATGTAACAATTACTTTCTACTGGACGTTAAACTATCTCACACTGCCAACATCTTCCTGTATTCCCAATCACAAAAAGGAGCGAAAACATACCTTGACACGGCCAGATAAAACATTCCCAGAGACATCAATGAAATCCCAACATGGAATGCTACTGCAACACCTCCATATTCCTTGAAAACTTTCTTCAGCTGCTGGGATTTGTTGGGCTTCTGGCTAGGATCTGTATGATCATTTCCTGGGGACCCACCAGTGTCCTTTAAAAAAAGAAGAGAATTAAAATACATTATGGTTTTTGGACCAATTGTTTTATCATGTGGATGTGGCATTAAGAGCAACTTCTATAGTGATTTATTGAAACATTATAAGATGAACTTCTATAGTGATTTATTGAAATATTACAGCAGTCTTCTAGTACAGTATTTAACTCCATCATAATATGTTATCCTTACTACAATACAGGGTGATTTTTTTCTTCTTCGTTTGCCTGTAGTCTTTTAGTATTTAACTCCATCATAATACGTTATTCTTACTACAATACAGGGTGATTTTTCTTCTTCTTCGTTTGCCTGGTTTGTTCTGGGCAGATTTTATGACTTGGCAAAAGTGGTTTTGCACATTTCTGAGAAACATGTTTTGGGAAATGTGATAAATCTTATCTTCTTAAATGAACTAGCAAATCGAGTGTTATTAGATAGATAAATAAAAGTCTGTATCCTTTGTAATGTTAATGTTTTTCTAAAGTATTTTGCTTGTTTTAATGGTGGGTACAGTAATTCCAACAGACCACCCAATGTATTTTCTTGGTTTACAGAATTTTTAAACACTTTTGGATTTTTTTATTTTTCAGTTACGAGCAGCAAAGAGATGTCTTTCAGATATAAAGCAGCATGGCATGTGTACTCGACATCATTTAATTTCTGGGTGCAGGTTCTGCCAAAGTGCAAATCCAGAAAGAAGAAAGGGAATACGTAGGACCCCTACATCCACAAGAGATCACTTCCATCCCTCCCCTCCACAGATGTTGAAAAATACAGATTACAGTGGTGCCTCGCTTAACGATTACCTCGTTAAACGACAAATCTGCTTGACGATTAGGTTTTTGCGATCGCAAAACGATGTTCTAATGGGAAAAAATTGCTTTACAATGATTGGTTCCCTGCTTCGGGAACTGATTTTTTGCTTTACGATGATCAAAACAGCTGATCGTGGATTTCCAAAATGGCCGCCCGCTGTGCAAAATGGCTCCCTGCTGTTTTTAGGATGGATTTTTCGCTATACAGAGAGCAGAAAATGGCCACCCTATGGAGGATCTTTGCTGGACGAGCAGGTATTTTGCCCATTGGAACGCACTGAACGGTTTTCAGTGGATTTCAATTGGCTTTTTTATTTCACTTGACAATTTCGCTCTACAGTGATTTTGCTTGAACGAATTAGCATTGTCAAGCGAGGCACCACTGTATAGCAAACAATTTTAATAACAGCAAATGTTATATGTAGCACAGTTTTCGGCTCCCTCGAGTGGCCAGTTCTAGTAATTTCATTGTTAAAAATACCAGTATATTTACTGGATTTTTCTTTTAATAGTATTTTCATATCATGAACAAGTAAATCCAGAGGACACTAATCCCACAGATAAAGAGTCCTACCATGTTGTGATCCTGCAGAATTAACGTTGTCAAGTGAGGCACTACTGTATAGCAAATAATTTTTATAACAGCAACTGTTATATGTAGCAGTTTTCAGCTCCCTCTAGTGGCCAGTTCTAGTAATTTCATTGTTAAAAATATATTTACTGGATTTTTCTTTTAATAGTATTTTCATATCATGAACAAGTAAATCCAGAGGACACTAATCCCACAGATAAAGAGTCCTACCATGTTGTGATCCTGCAGGTTGGCAAGTCAGAAAGCCATCTTGACACCCATAATCCTGGCAACTCCCACAGAAAGTTGCTGCACTATTTTACTCATCCCAGTAAATTAACTGGCATTTTAGGCTCTTGTTATGTTATGCAATATTATGCTTCCAACAAATACAGAAAATACCCAATCACAAGGGAATTGCTGACAACTGCTTGCCGAAAATATGCTTTGCTAGACTGCCATAAAGTACTGCAGCTAAAAAAAGCAGAATTGGAAGAACAAGCAGCTGAAAAAGTGTTAAGGATATAACAAAGATTGTGGCCTCTTAAAGTGAAATTGTCTTAACAATTTAGAAACCCTTTCTTGCTAGCTTTTGTGGTGCCATAGATTTCTGGTCATTTTGTGTGTAAGAATTAGATCTGGTACAACCTAGCGGTTCACATGTAAATGTGAGTAGATCAATAGGAACCACTTTGGTGGGAAGGTAACAGCGTTCCGTGTCTAAGTCGCACTGACCATGTGACCACGGAAGATTGTCTTCGGACAAACGCTGGCTCTGTGGCTTGGAAACGGGGATGAGCACAGCCTCCTAGAGTCGAACACGACTGGACAAAAATTGTCAAGGGGAACCTTTACCTTTACCTTACTCCAGATCCTTGAAGACCTGGTTGCAATAACAGCAATCTGGCATGCTTTTCTAACACTGAGTATCAGCAGGAGGAGGGGGTTTAGGACCTAAAGGGATTCTCATTTCTCACTAACCTGCTGGTAAAGTTCTTTTTCCAGCCTCTGGCTTGCCCCTACTCCTTTTACTGTTTGTTTGCTTCGCTCCCTCTGCTTAGTTAGTCCCTCTCTTCTTTCCTAAACTTCAAGCATGCAGAAAGCGTGGAAGGGTCTCTCCCACAGTGTAGAGATTCCATTTCCCCAATGTTTCCACTGACTTACAGACAGCAACTATAAGCCAAGACACAATTTTACAGAGTGATTTTTAACATACAAAGTGCTAGTCACTGGGAAAAGGGTTGAGCTACGGAGACTTAAGATATTCTCTCTTGCTTTCTCTGTGCAATTGTTTGTACCCGATACTCTTAACTATAAAAGGAATTAATCAAATTTCCAGGAAACTCGAAACAACTTCCAAAGAAGGCCTTGCCCTCACTGTATGCACCATCCGAGGAGGAGACACAGGTTAGAGCAGAAACCCAGCCTGTTCTTTTTTAAAGCGAGTGAGACCTGTGGTAGGAAAGCAGGAAGAAGCTGCTGGCATTACAGCCCAGAATTTCTCTCTGCAAAGAGCCACTGTGCTATAGTGGCTTCAACCAGTCCCTAATCTAATTACGGGCTGTCAACTCAACCCTGACTTATGATGATCCTTTACACAGGATTTTCGAGGTAGAGAGTACTCAGAAGCAATTTACCATGCCCTTCTTGCTTCTGGGGTCATCCTGGGACTGTGCAGGTTGCCCAAGGCCACACAAGCTGGCTCTACTTGCAGTCCCTAGGCAGACACCTAAACCACTGAGCTGTCCAGACAGCTCATTCAAGCAGTCCCTAGGTGTGGAAAAGGTGGAAGGGAAAGCGCGATGCTCAAGCAAACTACAGTGGTGCCCCGCATAGCGACGTTAATCCGTTCCAGGATTAACATCGCTATCAGGATTCTTTGCTATCCGGGTGGGGAAAACCCATAGGAACGCGTTCCTATTAGGGAAAACCTCACCCGTAAGCGAAGAATCCTGGATCCGGCCGCCATTTTCGCTGCCCGGTAAGCGAGGGCAGGGCGCGAAAATGGTGCGGGCAGCCATTTTCTGCACCCAGCGGCCATTTGGGAACCGCCGATCAGCTGTTCCCAAAATGGCCGCCGGGTGCAGAAATGATCGCAATGCGATGTTTAGCCTATCTAAACATCGCATTAGCGACCACAAAAAACGGGTCGCTATGCGGATTCGTCATTAAACGGTGCGCTTGTTAAGCGAGGCACCACTGTAGTCTGCATGCTTTCAAAAGATGTAACAGAGAAGGAGTTGCAGGCACTGGCCATGGTGTATTAGGTTTTCATCTTCAATGGCTCCTAATTTTTCTGGGAACATGGAAAGCCACTGAAATCATGCTCAGCAAAGAAATTGTCTTTTCATCTCAAAAGCTTACAGAAAGAATGGTGTGCCATTTTCGCAGGCTTAATAAAGGTATCATCGTCACAGGGACTAGGTCACAGCGATGGCGAACCTATGGCACGCATGCCACAGCTGGCACACAGAGCCCTCTCTGTGGGCACACAAACACCATTGAGAGATATTTACTTGTTCTCCAATCCCGGATTTTGGCACTCCCCTCTGCTGGTGCAGTGGTCCAGTGGAGGGGTGCAATGGCGACCATTACCGGTCTAGCCCAATTGGGGGATTGGAGGACCAGTAAGTATTTCTTTGTTAATACTGCCTGTAGGGGAAAAAACCACAAGCATTTAACTCTTGCAGTACAGAAGCAGTTGTTTTTTCTAAACTAAAACTGCAGTATTTGGGTTTTAATTGCAGTGTTGGCACTTTGAAATAAATAAGTTGCTTTTGTGTTGCAGTTTGGGCACTTGGGCTCAAAAAGGTTCACCATCACTGGACTAGAATAATTTCTCAAACCTTTCCTGACATTTGCCTCTGGACTACACTCCAACGGTTCAGCAGAAAGGCCCAATGTTCAAAGAACTTACCGTTCCCGATACTCACACTACTAGCTCCTGGCAGAATAACTCTGGCAGGTGGGGAAGCAAGGGATGAGTGTTTGAACAAGGCAAATAACAGTAAAGAAGTTTCTTGAGGTCAAGCACACCTTGGGCAGCAGGAAGGTTGTAGCTTGGTGGCAAGGAACATGATTTTCAAGCCATGGGTTGCAGGCTTGGTCCACAGCATCTCCACTTATAAAAGCTCAAACAGCAGATGCTGAAGAATTCTAGTCGCACTGAACAATAAGGGTCCAGCTTCCTGTTTTCCTAAGCACGTGACAGGCCGCTTTCAGGAGTGTATGAAGGCCCAGTGCTGCAAGATAAGACAATGCAGCGAAGGGGGGGAGAGTCTGTTTCTCCCTTGACAATGGCTCTCTCAGTTCTGAGCATCAAAGATTTTTATACATTTGGTTGGCAACAAAACAGTAGCCAAGAAAACTGGAGAAAGGCTAATTTGTTTTGATTTTTTAAAAAAAGAGGCACACAGACACACACAAACAGAATCAAAAGAGACTGGGATTGTTTCATCCACTGTTCTGAAAGCCACAAGGAGGTGACGGTAAAGCAGTCTTTTCAATTCAGCAATGAATTAGGCAATGGCAGGACCAAAGAGGGACACAATTCAGTTCTTTCTTCTCAGCATCCTCAGCCTTAACAACACAAAACACACTAAAATGCTATGTATGGTGGGACAGCCAGAATATTCTTTGTCTATGATCTAGATAAGCTTGAGCACTGGGCTGAAAACAACAGAATGAAATTTAACAAAGGTAAGTGAAAATTCTACACCTAGGGCAGGAAAACCTAAATGCACAGTTACATCATGGAGGATACTTGACTTAGTGATACTACAAGTGAGAAGGACCTTGGAATTACTATAGATCACAAGCTGAATATGAGCCAACTGTGCGATGTGGCTGCAAAAAAGGCAAATGTGATTTTACGATGCATTTAACACTACAATTTAAGATGGATGGCAACAAACTAGAGCAGTTTCAGAGGGTGGAAACAAGGATGATCAGGGGACTTCAAACAAAGCCCTATGAGGAAAGGCTAGAAGAACTGGGCATGTTTAGCTTTGAGAAAAGAAGACTGAGAGGTGATAGGATAGCACTTGAAAAGCAGCATTTCCTTTTCTTTGGGATGGTTTTTGTTGCTGCCTCCTGTACAATGTTACGAATCTCCATCCATAGTTCTTCAGGCACTCTGTCCACCAAATCTAGTTCCTTAAATCTGTTCTTCACTTCCACTGTGTACTCATAAGGGATTTGGTTTAGATTATGCGTGACTAGCCCAGTGGTTTTTCCTATTTTCTTCAGTTTACGCTTGAGTTTTGCTATAAGAAGCTGATGATCAGAGCCACAATCAGCTCCAGGTCTTGGTTTTGCTGACTGTATAGAGCTTCTCCAGCTTTGGCTGCAGAGAACCAAGAAATACATACAGTCATGCCTTGCTTTACGATTGGCCCGCATTACGACTATCTTTTTGCGATCGCAATTGCTTTCGCAAAACAATGGTCTAAATGGGGTTTTTTAGCTTTGCAATGATTGGTTCCCTGCTTCAGGAACCGATTCTTCGCAAAACGACGATTTTAAAACAGCTGATCGGTGGTTTCAAAATGGTCGCCGGGTAAACAAAATGGCTCCCTGCTGTTTTCTGGGACGGATTGCTCGCAAGACAGGCAGCGAAAACGACTGCCCTATGGAGGATCTTTGCTGAACTGTGAGTTTTGACCCCATTGGAACGCACTGAAGGGGTTTCAATGGTTTTTTCCCCCCGCTTTACGATGTTTTTGCTTAACAGCGATTTTCCTGGAATGGATTATTGCCGTTAAGTGAGGCACCACTGTATATATATAAACATCATTTTCCTTAGCAGTGCATTAGCAGATTTGGAAGTCCATCTCCTTATCGTCGCAGGCTCCACAGTTCTCCACTGGAAAGTTAAAAATGCAGGCTTTTGGATTAGTTCATATCAACGAATGAGGAAGGATCTTTTGTAAAGCTAGCAGGTCCTCACAACCCTCTCAAATCATTTGCAGTATAACAGGGCTAGCTTGCAACAATATACCGCTCCTGGCAAAATCCATCCCTTTTCCAAGGACTGCAGCTAAACTCAGAGGGAAGAGAAGCAAGGGGGAGGGAAACAGTATGTTCTAGTCCCTGCTGATCAGAGTTCCAGGGTTTCACATATTCACTATGCTACAATCTGAAGAACATTCTAGCATACAGGCTAGTGTTCCACTCATGCCACTCATGCAATTTTTAGGAGAACAATTAGCTAAACCTCTGGCTGATTAAATTGAAAGAGGCAATGTCGAAATGGTAGAAATGAGAACTAAATAATTCAATATTTACAGTATTCTGGCATGTTACTGTAAGACAACATGAAAAAGAAAAATTTTTAAGCTACCTTTCCTATTAATAAATGGAAATTTTTTATTTATTAAATGGTAGGTTTGCCTGAACAAACCTGATAGCAGTGGCTTAGATAATGCATACCCTGTTTTCCTGAAAATAAGACAGGGTCTTATATTAATTTTTGATCGGTATATTCTTTTAAAATGTAAAAGGCCCATATATAAGCCTACAGATCTGAAGGAGTCTTGTTGTATTTTATGGATATTAGCTCATCTAAACAGTACTTTTAAAAGAAAGGCCAACCATTTAAACTGCAATAATAATCTTTAAAAGGCCTGCACGTGTTTTCGAAAATGCCATTTGCCAACTTGGATAGACCCATTTGGCCGGCCAAAACAAATATTCTAGAAATATTTGAAAATGTTAAGAGGCAAAGGTTATAAGGAGGGATTCACATGAAGTGTTTCGACCTAATCAAAAAAGGGCCAAAGGGTAAAACCCTTCATTTTTGCAGGGGTTTTTAAAGAACAGGGAAAGAAAAGAACTCAGGTCAAGAGTCTTAAGAGATTGAAATTGGCAGTCATTCAGGGCCTCATCATTATGCCCAGCAGCTCCAACACTTCTGTTCAAAGAAGCATCAAGTGCCTCCAGCTGAAAAACACAGGACAGCATTTAAGAGGCACAACAATGAGCCAAGAATTTCTATCCCTTTCTGTCAAGAATGAACATGAGGAGGGTCAGGTCTAGAGTATGAGCCCTCTTAAAAAAAACATCATGTCAACAATCTCTCTTTTCAAAGAAAAAGTCATTCTAATTAAGTTTTAAAGGCCCATAAGAAAATTTCCTTTAAAACCGGTTGGGCAGCAAAATTGCAACTTTGCAATTCCCAGATAAAAGGTCTCACAGGGGCTGAATGTGGCTATCATCTTCCCTACCTCATCCTCACAAAGGAGATCCAGTGAATCATAAACCCTACTAAACCGGTCTCCTCTACCCCTCACAAAGAAAGACACCAATACCTCACAATCATTGGGGGACATATGAGCTAAAAAAAGACACAAGCCAGAAAAGTCACATTCCCATGCATGCTTAGTGGCAAGTTAAGTGTCACTGCACATGTACAAAATAAATGTATAGTTCATTTTCTCTACCTTGTAGAATAAAGACTCAAGTCATCATAACCTACAATAAAACAAACTGGAAACAACCCACTTGTGGTGTCCAGTCCTTTATACCCACTACTGTAATTACTTTTTTTATCCTTCTTGAGCCAGTTTTCTTGACATTTCAGATGTCAAGAAAGCATGATATAAAACTGAATTTCCCTCTCCCACCAGATTATTGCCTTTTGATATTTTTATGCTCAAACTGAACACACCCAGCTTTCTCAAAGGGCTTGGTTTCCAGACCCTTCACGATCCTAGTCGCCACCCTCAAGGATCCCATTCTACTTGGTCCACACCTTTCTTAAACTGTACTGCTCAGAATTGGACCCAGTACTCCAGGTGAGGTTTCACTGAACAAAAATAGAGGCCTGTTGTCATTTCCCCTGAACCCAGCATTATCCTTGCATTTGCTTTCCTGTTACGGCCATGCTGGAACAAGAAAACGTTAACTACCTCTTTGAGAATTTAGTAGGTAAACTTCTGCAAAGCACCCCACCTCCATCTGCTTCAGACACCTTGGACAGGTACTGTGTAGCCGGTCCTCCTACCAGATATTTTAAGACTTCCAATCCCAGAAGCTTCAGCCAGCACGACCAATGGTTAGGGATTACAAGAGACATCATTCAAAATATGTGAAAGAATACAGCTCCACCATTCTGATCTAAAGAACACAGATAATGCAGACCGAAGGTCCGCTGAACAAAATAATTTATTTATTTAACTTATATGCCGCCCACTCTACCCAAAGGTCTCTGGGCGGCTTACAACAATTAAAATTCAATTCAAATACAATAAAAGATAAAATGATTAAAGTACAATTAAAACTGCCATCAGGACCCACAGTTGATGTTATTTCTATTAAAAGCATTATAATTGAGATAATAATACATCAAGTGCCTTTGTGACCAAAACTTATGTTATGAACAGAACCGGCCATAAACATTTTGAAACATCTTAAAAAAAAGATGTTTCGAAACTTTGTTGGCTTTTCTGCATAGGACTATAACGCCAGCTGTTAGGTGTCATCCAGTCACACCCACATCATACTTGAGATAATGGAGAAATACCAAGACATGGTTTTGCGACTGCTACTAAACTGTCCACAATGTAGAGGAATTCAAATCGAAGTCTCCCTAGTCCTAAGACCCTCAACTCTATCCACTCCACCACCCTGCCACGTTTAAAATGCCTGCCCATACGGAAGTTCTGAAAACTGACATCTACAGAAAACGGGAATTAAATAAATAAAAATAAAATAAATGAAGTGTCATTCCAATTTCCCCAGATCTGGTAAAAATTAATTCACAGTAAAACAAGCAGACTAGAAAGACCGGGTCTCAGGTGCTCAGAACATGGCCGTCTGGTAAACAAAAACTATTATTCCACACATGCCCAGAGGCACTCTTTCCTCTGCTTCTTCGTGTCCTACTTGGTGAGTGGTTCCCATGACAATGTTTGCTGAGCCAGTGGTGCGTCCCCATGAATAGATCCAATTATGGAACGGCCACTCGACACTTACGTAAGCCCAACTGATTCAATGGGTCTACTCTACCCGCGAGTAACAAAACGGCGTAATTTTACTCCGGCATTTCTACATTGCCTTCATTTGCAGGCCCTCCTGCTCCTTCTGCCCTTGTACCCAATGCATCTGAGCGGGCTTCTCAGGGGCTGACCCTGAAATCCGGGTTTCCAAGCTGCCTTCCTCCACCCACCTTCCGAGATCCGAGGCTGCGACTCTCTCCGCCGGTGGCTCGTCGGCTGGCGTCGGCATGC